TGTTCACTTTTCTGTTACTCATTTTGTGTAACCCTTTAACTCTTATAAGTGAGAAAGACAGAATTTCTCCTTACAATATCGATACAATATGAAGCAAAAAAGTGATGAGATTTAATAAATGTCAATTAGGGGATTATTAGTTGATCCAATACCAATTCTCTGAAGTAATGGGGGGAATTGTTTGGCAGACAATAAGGAGAATTACTAAATAAATGAGATTAAGGAGTGAAAGGAGTAAATTATTTTTTGAGGTGCATGGGTTGATTATCTTTTTAAACTTTGAATTTCTGCTTTTCGTTCTTGCAAATGGGGAAGGTCTTAGATCTCCTAGGTATACTGAACTGTTTCATTTGGTCTTGTAACACCAGACGAATGATTGTCTAGCTCATCTAAACATTTCTTGGAATGGCTTATCGTTGCTGGGTTGTGTTGCACTGGGACGATTTCTAAAGAAGAATGAAGCTTTGGAATCACTCGACATAAGGTATCAATTCCTAAAGAAGTGCAAAATAAATACATGTTTAGAATGTTACTGAAAAGAATTTCGAAACGTAATTTCGACACACTAGTCGACAAAAGATAATTTCTCTAATTATTACTTGTAGTAACAATCGTATTGGACTATTGGCAACACAAAAGCTAGCCCTTGGCATTGCTGCTCATCCAAATCTCAAGGTTCTCAAGGTAAGTGAGAAAATCAGCGTTTTGCATTAAGATTTTAAAGTTAACACCTCTTTGTCGAATACGGGATTGCAATGGGTTTGCTTGAAAACGCTCTGTGATTGGTCCAGAAAACTCGTACCACCCTCTCAACCAATCAAATGCAAAACTAAAACCAATCGCGACTTAGTCATCTGCATTTTCCCGCGTCTCAGGCGGTTAGATATGATTGGCTCTTGGAGAGATATTCCATTGTTCGGATTGGCTGTAGTGACTACTGGTACATGTAGTGCTTTTACGCAGTTGAAATGCGTGTTATACTTTATGTTTAAGAATCTCTTTTGAGGTATTCGTGCCGTGGTTTCGGTGATTGAAAACGTTCTTGGTGGTTTTTATTTACTACAGATCGGTAAGAATCCAATAGGTGACGGAGGTGTTGAGACACTTTTAAATGTCATTAAAGCTCATCGAGCAATCAAGTTCTTGTCTCTTGAGGTATGCTCATGTAGTTTTGACTTAAAAGAATGAAGTAATTAGTTTGTAAGGGTCCGTTTGGCTGTAAAAGTGGAAGAATTAAACACTTACTAGATTACCAACATGAAGTTATGCTGTAGCTTGCTCAACTTTCCTACGTTAACCATTATATCAAATTTTTATAATCTGGTGCGTGATGCGTTAGCGCTTCTTCAGTTCAGCGGTTGCATTGACCAAAGATGCAAAACAGGAAACATAAGAGGGTTAAATGAGGGTGAGTTGACAGATGGCACAGAAACATTGGCAATTAACAACATTGGAAGAGGGTGAGGGGCGAAAGAACGTGATGCTTTGTTCTTGAGAAGTGCCCCAGGTAATTATATTTAGGAGTGTTGGAAGGTTGAGAGTTGCCCAAGCGTTTGGACGGGTGGAAAGAGAGAGTGGTGACGCAGAGGCGAGGTTTCTGTTATTTTTCACGACCGTAATGTGCGGTAACGAGGTTATAACGCTCGAAGTGTCAAATTTTCAAAATTCCCAGTGGTGGTTGACTTCACCTCTCGATTGAGAGGTGAATTTCGTATAGACAGCCACAAAGGCTACCCTACATGGTTTAAAAATAACAGAATTCAATTTTTTGATTACGGCTTTTCGTAATCCATTTACTTTTTTAGGACATCACTGTATCTCCAAAAATTTACGATGAAATAAAAGAGATCGAGAAGGAAAAGGGTGTCACTATTATTACAGGCGGTATTGGTGGTTATAAAAGACCCAAGGTTTGTACCTTTTTATGCTCATTTCATTTTTGCTGTTGTCGCGGCGAGGGGCTGTCGCCGTCATCGACCCACAGATTCCCTTCCATATACAAAAATGCTGCTCGATGATTTATTGGAAAAAAAACTATTCCTTGATTCTTTGGGACTCTTTAAGATCCAATCTCGTCCTCACTTCTGTTTTTTCAGAACAAGGTTTCACTGAAAAAAAATTAACTAGTTTCCAAAAATTGTGAAACGTTTTTATCATTTTTCAATTTTTATAAACTTCCTTTAAAGTTTCCTTTTTTTGCATCAACTTTGTATTTGATGCTCGAAGCTTATGAGTAGGTGACGTCATAATCTGTGTCATTCAAATGTCACAGGATGTGACAAGCTTGATCTCCTTTGCCATCCTCGTTCGCATCACACGACATGCTCTCTCTCCTCATGTTGCGTGACAACACCAAACAATGACTGTGAATGATTGCCCGGCCCGAGTCTGTTCGTCAATTTTTAAATTTTATTCATTATTTTGAGGGAATATTTGAAAATAACATCATTGACCTATTCATGAAAACTCACTCGAAAACTCACTCAAAAACTAGCTACTTGATACGGTCTACCAGCCAGTTCTAATGGAAGTCAAAAGCACAACAAATCGTGAGTTATGCCAGACAGTTGCTATAAACGCAATACTGGCTGAGGCTTCAAATCTTAACGACTTTCTAATAGGCTCCTTAAAACTGTCGGTTAAGGTTAGTAAATGGCACGTGTAGTTTATTGGGTCTTCTAGAAATCGGAATTCATGAATAAATGAATGAAGACAAACAAACGACCCAACGAACCATTTGTGTTTTCGTGTTTTTCAAGAACCAAATGACGCTCTGTATTCCTTTCTTTGTCTCTGTGCTTATTCCAGTTACTAATAGAAGCCATGGAAAGGTCGTTAAAATAGTCTGATATCAGCTAGAGACGGCTTAAGTGCTGATATATTAACAGACTTTTTGTAGACTTCGGTCGTTTTCTTTTTCGGGTTTTGTGGATATTCCAACCGTTTTCCGAGGTCTTTTAAAAGTGGAGAAGCCTTATGACTCAAATTCCGTAATGGCCTTCAAGAATGCCTTTTCATCAATTCCGAAGACGCTCGAAAGTTTTGGCCTTTTGTGTATTTTTCCTTATTTGAATTTAAATATAAAGATGTTAGACCTCTAGAAAACTGCGACATATGTAAGAGACAATTGACTAAGTGTTTTCTGGGTGACGACAGTGCGTTTTTATTTCAATATAACACACTCTAATGGCGCCAGAAACATCTTAACCTTGCGATTTAAAGGGCCCATATGTTGTGGTGGTTGTGATTTTGGATATTTTCGTTCTTTCTAAGTAGGGAAAAAAATCGTCTCGGTCGGCAGAGTTAGTTACCGACGTTAAGAGGCCGGGGAAGAAAGGGGAGGGGGGTGGCCATTCCCTTTTTCGGCCTAAACAGGTATATTCCACAAACAGGGTATAGTTTTCGGGATTTTGAATCTCCCGAACAACGTTTCTTTCAAGTCAAGATGTCTTGAATAAAGCGAAATGGTGGTGCTGCGCAGTTATATGGCCTTTACTATCGATTATTTTTCAATTTGATTGAGGTTTTAATATCTGACTATTCTGGAAGTGACTCTATTTTAGGCTCCGAATTTTCCCTTGCGAGTGCGCTCCCCTCCGTCCCCCCAGCCGCCCCCCGGTTTGTTAAGGTTACGTAACGTACAAGGATGATTTGTCGGCATCATACGAAATTACATAATCTTACAACAAGGTCTGTCTACCTACTTTTCCAGTTCTTGCAAACTCCATTTTTAGAGATTATTTTTTTAAGAATTCCCCATCGATGCCCATTCCTCTTTTTTTTTCTTTGTCGTTCTTTGAGTCATTTTATCGTTTCAAGCTGTCTCTTGGGCAATTTTTGACAAGTACCCTTAAAATGACTTATGGCTATTGATAAGCCGAGAACACTTCTCATATCATCGGAAACATTATTTTTAAATTACCTTGTTTTAACACTTGTGACCTCATTTTCATACCATGAACTTTAGACGAGACAGTATATAATTAAGTGGTACAATTTTAAAGAAATATATTGCTTTGCTAATCATAACGCTTTGACGAATGAAATACGTTTCAAAGTGTAGGCAATATACTCGTATTTTATCTGCACGTGACATCGAGTATTGGCATCGAACTTTGTTCGTTAAACAGTGGTCAAATTGACGTGATAGTTTCGAGAGGAGCCACTCCGACTCACAACTAATATATTTTACTATTAGTCTTAATTTGCCTGCGTTCAGTTGTATTGTGAAGTACCCTACGTTTTACTTGTAGTAATTTGCTGTAATTTGGTGTACAGGCTGTGAATATATTTTATTTTCAGACAGTGAATTTTTATGTTTTGCAGTGGAGTTTCTTTTACCATTGCCTTTGAATAAGTAACCACAACGTAAACACCTCTTTTAAACACGATTTGCGTAGGTTTGTAATCCACATCAGGGCAAAGGTTTGGTATAGTTTATGGTTACTGAAATCATAAGAAGTCCCTCGATGGTGCAACAATCATTTTCCATTCATTCAGGATCTCGTAGATTCAGTTACGATTCAAGAATGTCCTTTTACCATGATACTTGCCGAGAACATTTGTCACTTTATGGCGTCACATATATTATGAAGCTCTCTCAGCTTCTTTTAATAAACTGTTTATTTTTTATTTTGAATTTGCGTAATTTTTTAGTAGAATAGCGTCATCTTTTAAGTGTTTTTCTCAAAATTATTTTTAATCTTTCAGGAAATGCCCCCTGGTATGCGTATACTGCTTACTTTCATTCAAGATAACCGGCTTCGCCTGGTTGACTGGTTTAACCAGTTTGACAAGGACCACAGTGGTGGTATTTCTCGCGAGGAGTTTAAGATCGGGCTGAAGGAGACTGGGCTTGTGATGACGCAGGTATCATTCGGTTTTTGATTTGATGGTTTCTCCCTCTGATCTACTGTTCCCATATAGATCATTATTTGATACTCAAATTTGAGTTCCTGTCTTCTTCCATTGCAGAGGCAGCTTGATCGTTTGATTGACTTCATCGACATAAATGACGATGGTGAAATTGAGTACAGGTAAATGGCTAATATTATTTTCTAAAAGATTGTCTAATCCTTGGAGGATCACAATGGCCAAACAAACGAAGGAAAATACCGCAGAGGGCCAATGAGGACTCGAAATAAAAACATGCAAACCACCTAAAGCACGGGAAAACGCGGTTGGCCAAGTTTCTCTTAGTTTTAGTTTGTATCTAATTGGTTGAGAGGGTGATGTTTATTTCTGGTGACATTTCTGTCCAATCAATAAATCAATCAATCAATCGATCCCGGATCGGTTTCTAGACTTTATTAAAACTTGTTCTAACTTGATAACTGTGTTTCTCTCGTTTCCTCCAACAGTGAACTTATGCGAGGTCGTGAGATTACAATACAAGAAATTCGCCAAGAGAAAAAAATTGAAGAAAGGCAGAGAAAGTTTGATGAGGAGCGCATGCGTCTGCCTAAACTAGAGGGCTACGATTACGACCTTATGTAAAGAGGAAACTGGGGGACCGGTACTACGCCGGTGAAGTGTTCAGGTCTGCATATGCATCGAGGGGACTGGGACAGGCAACATTTAACGCACAGTTGTAGAACAAGAAACGTGTCTTATGTACATCAGTACGAAGAGATGCTGTGTTAAACAGTGACGTGATATACATGGAACTATTGATTATTTATTGGCTCTGCAAAAGTGAATGTGATTGTGGCTTTTAAACCGGGAATGGCCGAAATAGAGCTCGGAGATATTCGTAAATGTTCGAATGCTTGGAAGTTGAACAGCTAATCTATGGTCAAGGATGGTCGACTCTGTAAATTTACACTTTTACTGACATTTTAAGTTAACGAACGAAATTTGTTGAACTTCAAAATTTTTTCCACCCAACTTAATTTATAACTGTCAGATGTAATATATTTTTACTTGCTCTTAAAAAGACGAGTCGTATTTCGAAAGAATCGAACTGATGATGTCTAATTTATATGTGTGGAGCTCATTTTTATTGCAAAAGATAGTGATTAAAGGCAAAGAAAGAAATCATGTTTTCGAATTGTTCTCCGTGTTATTGTTGAAATAATCGATGCCTAACAGTAGATATTGATTATTATTACTATAATTGATACTTTACAATAGTAATAGGACTGAGTGGAGTCCAATTCGGTTTGTAATCATACGAGTGATAATAAAATTGGACGACCGCATAGCGGGAGTCCGATTTGTTCATCACGAGTATGATTACAGACCGAATTGGGCGACACGAAGTCTTATAACCAAGTAATCATAAAAATTACAATTTCTGGGTAAAAAAAAAAAAGTCAAGTTATGAAAGAAAGGGAAAATTTGCATTAAATGACTGACAATTTCGGAGTCTGTACACTGTTTCTATGATGATTGAAACAGTTGCTTGGTTGATTTAAGCTACAACTTTGAATGTGATTGGCTTACTGAACTGTCCAATAACAAACTTTCCGTATAACAAACTGTCTGATAACAACTTGGCAAGTGAATTAGGGAAAACTAGAAATTTTAAACCAATCAAAATCGAGGAAATTGTAATTTTTTTTATTAAAACAAAATTAGATTTTAGATATATGAAAATTCACATAATTCACATATAAATCAAAATTATATGAAATATAATTATATGATATATGAAAATTCACATATATTCACATATAAAACAAAATTAGTTGTAAAGATGACGATAATGAACTAATGTTGCGTTGAGATGATTTGATGAAAACTCTTACCGTGAGACAGGCGGCAATGAGCGAGTTTTACTCTTCCTCTAATATAGTACCTTGAGAGATAGCTACAGCTCTTCAGAGGCTTAGAGGGATTAGTGATGAGTCACCACCAAATTTGTAAAAACCAATTATGTACTCTTTTTCCTTCCTCGACTTTTGAAGTACCCGAAAGCTATCACTTTCAGGTTGATCAACTCAGTCCACTAGGGTGTCCCTTAAGGCGTGTTCACTGACATTGACATTCAATGCAAAAATCGACTTATAACTTTACGTATACGCTATCTTGTTGTTTTATTTTTATTTTTATTTCTATGAGCTCTGTCTTCTTATTTAGACCTTTTGGTTTGTCAACTTTGAAATTCCGCGTCAACGTGGACATGGTAATGAAGGGAGAGCTTAGAAGAACAATGACTTCCCATCTCTCTTTGCTTGCTAGACTCAACTTACTAATCCTGCTATTCAAACTGAAAGAATTCGAACTGCGTGAAATCCCTCATTGATTTACGTCATTCGGTATTAGACCCAAATGCTTTTCTTGAGACCTCCTGTTGTAGGAAACGCGTCAGAGAGATCAGTGCAGTAACTTGCTTTTTCCTTGCCGTCTCAAATTAGGTTCTTTGCGGCAAGACTTGTCAGATTTCTGTCTGTGATATAATTCAAGGCGTATGAGAAAGGTATCATCAAATCAACTGGGAGGTGATTGTTTTTGTTTTTAAGTTACATGAGAAGTTACGCCTTGATGAACTTCGAGTGGTTGCTCTTATTGATATATTGTGCAGTCACGCGATGATCTCAACCTTGAACCCATTTCACGTCACAAAGTTGAGGTGGATACGCTTATCTCATCGCATGCATCAAGAGGAAAATGGGATGGTCACGGAATGACTCAGCGACGCAAGCTGTGCGCGTCACAAAAGCTTGCGTGACACAGTGTACATTTGTGCTACATTACTAGTTTTTTTTCGGTTAAGAAAGAGGTTGTCATCATTTCAAAACCGACTTAAGAAGTTGAAATCTTTCAGTGAAGCTAAAAAAAAGTCCACAAAATGTACGCTTTACTTTACGATCAATTCCCCTTTTGGGGCACGGATATTTCTCGACGTAATTTTCTTAGGCCGGTAGGCAGCGTTTATATCTGGGAAAGGGTAATGGAAAATTCATGCGATAAAATGAGAAATACCATAATTAATAATCCATTTCGGATAAAGTAGATATCAACACATATTCGTTTTTTTTATTTTACGCTAATTTTCACAGACAAAAAGCTCGGTACAAACAAAAGGGCATATATAATGAGATTCTTGTCATGATGTATTTGCGACGAATATATACTATCACTGTCTGGAAAAAAAACTGAATTGACAAGATCTTTAACTAATACTCTCTTGTTAGGCTCGATGCATATCATTTAAACTTCAACTTATCATCAGTTGAACTCGAGCGTACATAGCCTATGCGAGACCTCGGGTTTTTTTTTTACCATTACTGATATTTATTTATATCTGTACACTCATCCAATAGGTCCTCCAATAACGTTGAAAATAAGAATCATAAAATTTTTAGGTAATCTTTCAGCGGTTTTGGTGTCAATACAGCGTTGGTTAAAATTCGCAATTTCACAGATTTAGAAATAGTGTAATCAAATGAACGCTCATTTTGGGAACAAGTAACTTTTAAACATTTGCCAGGAACCGATCATTAATCTTATGCCACTGATGTCTTGCACGATCAAATCGAAGTGAGCTGACCAGAAAAATGAATATTTAATACGTTTTTACCTGCCTGTTGTGCACGCAGTAAGTGCTCATCTTTGTTATGCAAAAAGCTGTTCTTCGTGTAGGTAAATTAGCAAAATGAATTGTTAGCGTGACGCTTAATTTTGATTGGGCTATTCTCGTGAATGACATCTCCGACTACCGTAAAAGATTGCACATAGCCCTAAAGAATCATTTCCAATGGCGGATTTTGAAAATCGAGGTTACCGCTTGCTTGGAAGGTTCATAGTTTCTTGACTTAAATGAACTAAAGAGTGTTTTGAGAGGTCAGTTATAGCGCAATATGACGTCGAAGGAATATCCGCCGAGAGTGGTAAGTTGAAGTTGTTTATAATTTCCAACTGGGAAGCGGCCAGAACTTTGAAGTCATTCTCCGGTTCGTACGCCGGGAATAAGAGATAGGGAGTTGACTTGCTCTGAAAGAGACCTAACTACTGTTTTAAGTGTCTCTGATCTTCTATTTCTTTATTAAATTCGAAGGATATTACCATAAAGATCCGATAAAATCTCCCGAACCAGTGATATTGTTGAACCGTACTCCTAGTATTTCTGTATGTTCCGTGATAGTGTGCTCTTTTGAAACCGACAGATGTTCATTTCATTTCTTAATTTCAGGCCTCTGAAGTTGCCGTAGATCCTCATGCACTGGACGTTTTTCATGCGCAAATTGAAGATGTTGAAATTCAAGGTAATATTCTCTTGGCAGCACCGAGATGGGTCAATTTGGATTTATGAATAATCATCGCGAAGACATAATTTCGTCGTCGAAAAATATTGATCAGATTGACAGTACGGAACGCTTCCAAGTTATTAAGTGCTCAAGATTGTTTTAGAAGCCTTTCTTTCTATAAAAATCTCATTAAAATTGTGGCAGATATGAGCTTAGGGGATTATTTTTGTCTTGCAGAATGCGAATTTTTAAAGCTAATACAGTAGCAACAGGACGAAGAAAGAAATGTTCGATATTGGCTTCTTGAGAACTACGCAAACAATTACAAATGACGCGGTTATGTTTAGTATTGTTTCGTATATTACAGAATATTTCAAATCATAGGAAATCGCGATTCATTTCACAACATCACTCCATGGAGACATTTATTTCGTCGCGTCTTGACAACTAGCGACTAGCGATATTGAAAGCGACTGCCTGTTCCTTAATTGATCGAAGACACGATTTTTATCCTCTGCATCGTTGTATAAATTATATTTTGATCTAACGTTGCGAAGGCAAGTCTCGGACAATTGCGGTATTTTCTGCTTAAGCATTGACTTACTCCCGGCTCTATGAGTATCGCGAGACTCCACCAGGTGGCTGGCTCAATATCGATTACCTCCGGGAAACAAAACTTTCGTAGATTTGTGACGTCAGTGTCTTACCGAATCCGGCAGAAGTTTATCAAATTAGGAGATATGCTATATCAGAATGCGTCTTTGTTCTGTTTGTAAAACTGTACCGCAATGCTCATTCTATTTAATTAGTGTCGTTTTGAGCGTTTATTTATCCTGTGGTTGCTCTATGATTGCTCTCCAATATTTCATATTGACACTTTGGTTGGAGTACTCCTTCAGTTTATGGTTCTTTTTGCAAATTGAGGGATATAGCGCTTAGATAAATCGGAGTAAGTCTTTCGTATATCACTCTTACGGCTTTACAAATCTTACTTCGTTCTACCCTTGGAATTTTTTTTTTTCAAAAGCAACCAAAACCCGATCAAGTAAAAAATATAATGATAAATTATAAAGAAATGGATTTCATTAAAGCAAAGACATTTCAAAATCCCAAAGTTGACCAGTGAAGGAGCCTTTACTGCCTCCCATGGGAAGGAAAATTATTTGAGCTCGCGCCCATTTTAATGAATCTACAACATTTATCCCATGTAAATGACACTTGGAAAATGGGAAAACAAAAAATTATCTTCTGTGCTCATAAACATTTTTGTATGATATAATTGTATAGGTGGACATATCTGGATGAGTTTCAAAGAGATAATTGACAGTCTGAGAAAACTCTTTCAGTCTTTAATCTGATGATCGACAATTTGTTCCCTTCCTTACGCGTGACATTATTGAAGGCCTTTAGGGTTATTTCACCTGTTTTCCTTTTCTTCCATAAAATGATAGAAAGTTTACTTCTTAAACTAAAAATTCCTTCTTTCTCCAAACTTCTGAAATTGATGGGGTCGAAGGTAAATGCTTTCGTCCCATGCCACCTGCGCAAGGAACGCGAATATACCATCGCCATTTGATGTTCACGTGCAAGAGCTTTGACAATGGTACGGTTTCGCTTGAATACTCACTCAGTGAAAACAATAAAACTTTTCAATCTTCTTTATTTAATTTTTGGCCGCATCAGTAACTTTCGCAACAAATTTTCCGTTTAAAACTTTGCAAAATTTATAATTATTTGCAAGTGCAAATAAGATATAAACACTTGACGCAAATATCACACGACTAGCCCCAGTCTTCCTGAGCTCTGGATAAAAACGCGACGCGCACGTAATCGAGGTCCAAACAGAAAAAGTGTGAGGGCCGTCGAATCATGGAGATCCGGCAACCGGTGAATAGCCAAGAACTTTTTTTGTGATCACCCATTTTGGGTAGAAATTATAACTTTCGTTCTTTCTCCTAGAGCTACGATAGTATTCCCGGACCCGTTGACGCTGGGGTATCCAGTAGGAATGGCTACTTTGGAGAGCTCGACTATCAAAGTACGCGCGGATAATCGAATTTTTTTTGCCGGAAACGCTCACGCTAGCCGCGTACAGAAATTTTTTACAATTTTTACCGTGAAGAGTACTATTTTTACTTTTTGATCGTACATCTTAATATGGTGATTTTTGTTACAGATCATCGTCAGGTCTATGTTGGAGTTCATATTCCTCTTCGACAAAGGAAACATCACCACCATCAGCGGCATCATCACCACCGTCGCAGGCACAGGTCCCTACTGGAATCCAAAGATGAACTCTCATCAGGTTAGAATTTGTTTTTGTTTTAAGCTGGTTGTTCTATATTACGTATTGTAACATTTGCCCGAATTTTTTTTTATTTGTCGAAGGATCGCTCACTTGTGTTTGAACGAGGGTAGGAAAGAAAAGCGAAAACCTTTATAACGAGTAGTGTTTATATCATATAAGCGCGTGAATGCTTATTTTCCTTTGAAGGTGCGAATAAAATATTATTCAGAGAAATTTGTAGTAGCATTACAAAAAGCTTTGCTTGTTTTCTATAGAAAAGTTTTATTATCATCCTCGTGTCACGAGCTTTAGGGCTGTTGTTATTTTTACTTTGGCAACTTGTAGTAATCAATCGAAAATTACGCAACGATCGATAAGCCAAAGAATTACTAAGGTTTCATATTTCGTGAGAGCTGGTAATGATTGTCAGTCCAAAATTGCACGAATTCGTGCCGTGAACCCAGCGTGCAAACTCATATTGTAATTTTTCTCTAGCTTATAATATCGATCTTTTTTTTGCGACGATTTTGCTATCAACTCAAGTTCCATTAAGTGAGGCATGCGTTTCAATATATGTACCAGTTTATATACGATTCACTCTGGTCAAGTAGTGGTCCTATTTCGTAGTATTTTAAAGAGCAGTTAAAAACCAAATACTGATGATTAATGTTGTCTGTATTGAAGTCTCTATTCACTAATATCACTGCATCGAAAGCTAGAGAATTGTGCATGTGTATTTTTGAAACCCAGGGGAACAAATTTATTCCTTCAGTTCAATGTTGTTACAGTATGTGTGTTCAAATTTGATATTCAGAAATCCTTTATTTCTCAGCGAATTTCGAAAAAAATTTCCATATTGTAACTTATTGAGGAAGTCTCTAGAATGATAAGTTTTCAAGAAATATGTCAGAACCTAAAATTATTTCGTGAACGTTACAGCACAATTTTTGTGCGTTGTTCGACTCACAAAGCTTCTTGCTAACATCAACTCTGTTTACATCCTCATTACCTAATGCCAGGTTATTTGTACAATCCGTCTTTGTTAAATATTACTTGACCTTCAAATTGTGAACTTCCATTCACAGTAACAACTGAGCAGTGTAATTTTTAAATACTATTTATGCCCAAGCTGTGCATTTACAGTGGTGTTTTTAATAGTAGGAAGATTTTGGTCATAGGTTAATTGACTGGAATAAATTAACACATTGTTCTCTGTTGACAATTAACCACATCTCAAAGACTCACAATTACTCCTGTGTTAATTAAACATTCGGTCCCTGTAGTTCTATTTCTGACTGTTCATTCTAAGTCTCATCCTGTCAGCAATATTTAGCTTGAATTTGTTCAAACACACTTTCCACACACTTGTGTTTTGTTATGTTGTTTCAAAACCTCCACATGGGGTTAAATGATGATTTAGATGAAGTGCTTACTTCAGTTGACAAAAACAAAGATTTTGTTTAACCTATAATAAAGATCAGCCATTCTTAAAGAGAAATTTATTTCAATGAATTTCCATTCTCATTGAACTGCTGCTCTAAACAGGTTCTCTACAATGCTTAATGTGTTATTCTTTCTAATGGAACAATCTTGTGATATAAGCTTGTAGCAAATTTGAATTCTTGATCTTAGTCTAAGTCATTGATATTCAGAGAAAAAGAGCACAATTAATGTTTTTGCACACACAGCTGTTATTCCTAAGATAAGAATATGATCTCACTCTTCACATCCAGGGTCCCCCTTTTCAGGCAGTAATGAGTAAAATGTTTATCACATCTAGTACCTCTTATCACAGCTTAATACAAAATCGCTAGGAATTCTTGAAAATTTAACAGGTAAATAGATAACTCTACTGGTTTGAAAATTTATTTTACCAGCTGTGTTCAAAATAAGGAATAACACTGTACAAAGGACATACAAAAAGCATACCAAGCTGAAATAAATGCTTTCAGACAGGATATAACAGCCGTAAACAAACATTAACATTATCATGACATTATTGTCTCATTAGCTAGACCTATTTTTTCCTCGCCAAACAGAGTATTGTTATGGATGTGAGCAATAGTATAATGCTCTATTATGTCTCATTGTGACTTGCTGGTCAAAGAGAGTTAATCGTATAAGTGCACTGATTTAAAAACCTTTGTCTGGAACTGAGCAAAGGTATTCAAGATCAGACAATTGTTTGGCTACTATGCAGATTTCTCAAGCTAAGTCTTAAGGGTTTGAGCTATTTTTCCTTCAGAGGCAGAGAATGTTTTTCTAGTACTTCATACTACTCTCTTTTCACAACTTTTCCTAATGAAAACCCCAAAAGCTCCCAAGAGAAATTGGTGTTAAAATGTTGCTTGTCTGAAGTATTGATGAAGTAAAAGCAGGAAAATCTGTAATTATTTGCAACAGCTGACTGGACAGGGTTTGATAATTTCACATTGAAGGTACTTCAACTTAATTCCACAGATCATGGATTTATTAGCTATTGTTGTAAGTGAAAATCACACATGGCACAGAATATTGGCATGATATTTGGCCTGACAAGTATTAAAAAATGGAAAGCGGTGTGTTGTTATGCATTTAAATTACTAAACCTCAATTCACTGATATTCTGAAAGAACCAGTTTCAATTTGTTGACACCAAAGCTTAGTAAAGGGGTGTTGTTTTGAGCAACATCCAGCATTGATTTCTAAACATCTAGAGTGGACAAGAACATTGGTCATAGATACACACACACACTGCCCCATTATGTTCACTCTTTCATTCCCAAGATCTCACGAGTAATTATATTTACTTTCTGCCATATGATTCTTATGATGTTAGTTTGGAGAACTTGGTGTTGGATCAGCCAATAGTCTGCTAATTGCTATTTTTCCTTATTCTCATGCTTGATATTGTATGGAGAAATTCTGTTACAGTCACTCACCACAGTTAAAGGGTTAAGTTACCCTAGTGATCCTACAGGGTCACCCAAAATGATTGGGAGTAATAATTTATTATTTTAGCCTCTGAAAAGGCGGAATAAGCTTTGCAGTATCCAGTTGTGAATTCTCCCCCAACCAAGCTTTTTGTAATTTAGAAAACTACACAGTAGCTGAAATATTTCATTCATCAATCCTCTTCTCCTATACAATTCAGCATGGACAAATTCTGCTTGTTTTTAGATGCAGGGACACCATCATTGCCAACAGACAAAGTGCGCTTCATTCTTGGTGGAGAAGAAGCTGACCAAGAGCAACACAAAATGTTCACAGAATTGCTGGAATACCAGGGTGATAAAGAGGGGAATGAGGAGTGGAGGGAAATGGCTCGGTGGTTGAAATTTGAGGAGGATGTGGAAGAAGGAGGAAATCGTTGGAGTAAGCCGCATGTCGGCACCCTTTCACTGTACAGTCTGTTTGAGTTGAGAAGTGCACTTTTGCGTGGAACAGTACTTTTGGACATGAATGCAAATAATTTATCTCAAATTGCTGGTAAGTGTCTCCTCAGAGCTTTTAAACAACTAAAACATGTACTCTAGTTAATTGTAAAGAATGTGTTTCTTTCATGTCAAGTCATTCCAAATAAGGACAGAGAAAATCATCAGGTTAACATTCGTGAAGAATACATGTATGTGTCATTAAAATTCACCATGATTCACCAGGAGTTTGGTTCATCTATTTAACAAGGATGTGTAGTCGTTAAGTGTTTACTGTACTTCATTAAATCATTTTTATTATGTACTGTAAACACTCTTGTGAAATTAAACAACCTTTTTCTTTTCAGATCTTGTCCTTGATGATCTGGTGAATAAAAATCAATTGGATCAGGACAACAGGCAGCAAGTACGTGATGCAATCTTAAAAAAGAAGCGTCATCAGGGAAACAAAACAACAAAGAAGAAGAACTCCAACCCAATCAGTAGCTTTGGATCATTTGCAAAGAAAGGCTCATCTGCAGGCTTTGGTGACATGTTCAAAAGATCTGATTCATCCCATAAGACAACTGCTCCAAAGAATTTAGAGGTGGTGAACGAGGAAGACAGATATGATGGAGAGTTCCCACATTTGCCATCAGCTGCAGACTTGGTGGGAAAAGGGAAAGAGAGTGGTGTTAATGGTGATGCAGGTCTTAACAAGATAGACTCCGAGACTTGCTTAGAAGCGGTTGGTTTACCCTTTTTCTTAGCTGTTACACTCAAAAACCATGAAAAGCCATATTTTTTATTCTGATGGCAAGTCTGCCTGATATCGTATTTTTTTTTACCTGAAAGATTCCTTCCTTGCTCAGAAGTGGTTTAGTTTAACTTTTTTCTTACCTGTTCCAGATATTTGAAATTCTAATAAGCTACATTTATTGAAAAATGTGATGTCATATCTGTAAAAGGTCAAGGGTCAACCACCACACTGTCCATGTGGACTGTTTAGCTTCATGTACCTATAAAATAATTATAAAGAAAACTTTTCTAGTTGAAGTAACTAAGGTCATCATGCTATGATCCTTCAATGCTTTGTTGTTTTGAAACCAAAAAGAGTTGAAACACTAAGCCTTTTACTCCCAAGATTTCATTTGTAATTCTCCCAACCATTTGCATACCATTCTTATGATGTTAGTGGGGAGAAATTGGTATTGGATCAATTAATAATCCCCTAATTGCTATTTTTCTTCATTCTTATCAATTTTCTGCTTGATTTTGTATTGACATTGTAAGGAGAAATTTTGTCTTGGTCACTTATGGTGGTAAAAGGGAATTAAGCAACACTCTGGTTGTGTTGATCCACATGCGCTCACCTATTAAGTGTTGAGTTTCTATCATCAAGATAATCAGAAAATTTCCCTTCCAGTTTGATGCCAACTTTATGAAGAAGATTCCCCAGGGTGCTGAGGCTTCCAATGTCTTAGTTGGTGAGATGGATGTCATAAAGAAGCCAGTGACAGCATTTGTACGTCTGGAGAATGCATCACTTTTAGGTGACCTCACTGAAGTTCCAGTGGCATCGAGGTTTATATTTCTCATGTTAGGACCACCTGGTACACCAGGAAGGTACATGGAAGTTGGACGTGCTATTGGGACATTGATGTCAGATGAGGTAATGTTGTCCATATCGTGCTCTAAAGCTGAACTAACTAATTAACCCTTTACACCCTGACATCAGCATGTATATTCTCCATGCTGTTCTTTATACATTTCCTATGGCAACGACAAGGAGAATTTATATGAATGAAAGTGATCCTCGCAGTAATGTGCACTACTTGGGCAGTAGTGAAAACCGTTTAAGGAGAATTTAGTGAAAAATCAAAAGCTTTTCAAGTTTACGATCATTTCCTCATTTCTCAAGAGTCTAAGGTTTGATTCAGAAGTGAAACCTTAATGAGAAATTACATACTAATCACCCCAAAAGATTAAAGGATTTAAAAAATGCCAAACTTGGTTTAAAGTCCTGTTGTGAGTGTTTCTAACTTGAGATACCTTGCTTTCTCAGCCCTGTAATAGTGCAAAATGTGTATCCATACATTATTGCCTGTGATACTAAATTCAACCTGAAACTACACATTTTTAAGACATTGGTTAATTAAATAAGGAAAAACATGGCTTTGTATTTTATCTGATGGAATTCAAATTTGGGTAATTTGATTTGATTGCACAGACATGTTATAGCTCAAAATGAATCCAGGTGCGAGTGGATTATATTTAGTTTGATTCAAATTTTTATTTTTTCTAGATACATAACCATAGTTCTTAAATAAGGAAAAGTGAAATTGAAACAATTTTGAAATAATTTTAACCTGATTAATTGAAATAAGCATTTTTTATTTCAATTTTAACCTCTTTGTTTATTTTGTAGATTTTCCACGAAGTAGCCTACAAAGCACATTGCCGTGAGGATTTGTTGGCTGGAATTGATGAGTTTTTAATGCAGGTAATTTAACAACAATATCTTCCTCATCCAATTGCTGTTAGTAGTTAGTCATGAGTTTTTCCCAGTCCTCCCTGTCTTGTAGTGCTCTTTTACCTTGATACCTCCTCTGGCATTTGGTTGGTATTCCTCTCTGATTAGACCAGCCATATACTGATGGAATATTATTAGCTTTGGATTAACAGTCTTGTCATTGTTGGGGGTATGGTGGAAAAGGTAGCTTATTGAACAATTTAATCCCTAGTTTCTTAAAAAATGCTTAAGGAGGAATGGATATGAATTGATATTTAAATTTGGTGATCTTATCTTATTCATTCTGACTGTGTGGATAAAATGGAGCAAACAACATAGTTGTTATATCTCTAATTCCTTGCACAGTCTAACATCACTTGTCTCAATAGCAAACATCTTGATTTGAAAAATTTTAGTGTGTCTGTATGTGTTAATATAGGCATTGTCACAATTGATGCCCATAAATATAAATTAACGCCATTTGCCATGCTTCTCTTGGTTATAGTCTTGTTCACTGTGTCAATAATTTATGTCACCTTACATTTGACCCAACCATCACAACTCTAAGGAAATTCTTATCCTTTCATTTCTTATCTTAGAGAATACTTTTTTATTTTGTGATTTCAGGTGACAGTGTTGCCACCTGGTGAATGGGATCCATCCATCCGCATTGAGCCCCCAGATGCTGTTCCATGCCAGGGAAACCGTCTTGAGACTGTGAAGTCTGGAGGTGGTGGAGAAGTGGAAGAACATGATCCTGCAGGAGACAGAGAGGAACAACTTCAGAAAACAGGAAGGTAGGGAGATAATGACTGGTACAAAAAACAACATAGAGAATATTATGCATCATGTTTTGCCTGACAGTTGGGTGATTAGACTGTAAAAAAAAGGATCTAAAACCCAATTGAAGGTTAAACCTCTAAATCCCAAGATTGAAATATCAGCTAAAAAAATTAAATCTCAAATGAACCAAAATTTCCAATCAGATCTGATTGGGTAGTTTCTTAGAGTGTTTTCCTAGTCTTTTTTTTGCAATAACTGGGAGTCATTCTTTATTTCTCTGACAGGTTATGTGGTGGTCTTATAGCTGACATTAGACGTCGTGCTCCTTGGTACTGGAGTGATTTTAAAGATGCCCTCAACCCTCAATGCATCGCATCAATCATCTTTATTTACTTTGCTTGTCTCACACCAATTATTACATTTGGGGGTTTGATGGGCACAAAGACAGGGAAGAACATGGTAAGATGTGACTGATAATGCACCTGTTTTACTGCTATATGTTCCTTTTTGGTTGCTACAGCAAAGCATTTTGGTATGAAACATGGTCAATTTTGCTCATTTTCATCATTATTTGAAAAAATATAGTTGCTGATTGCTGTTGATTAACAAAAATTAAATAAAATAAGCTTACTATTGCTATTGAATAAAAATACTGTAGGTTACCTTTCTTTAAATGCTATATATGTAATGTCTGGGAACAAACTAGTTTGCTTCAGCAGCTCAATGTTTTCTGTTTCAGTTGATTTTTCGTTCTGTTTTACACATTTTTTTCCTCTTAGCTACATGTATATATTATTTCTCTCCAAAGCTCTAAATAGGCATGTTTCCAATTTCTTGCTTTCAGGAATTGTCCAGGTAACCTATCCTAAATTCTCTCTCCTCTTACTACCTCTCCTAAATTTTTAGGCTGCCATGGAGCAAATTCTTGCTGGTGGAATTGGTGGAGTCCTCTTCTCCGTATTTGGTGGTCAACCACTTATTATTCTGGGTGCCACTGGGCCTATGTTAGTGTTTGAAGAAATTCTTTATACATTCTGTGATAAATTTGGCCTCGACTACATGCCGTTCCGTTTATGGATTGGTATATGGACGATGTTGTACTGCTTTATCCTCGTGGTAACAGATGCTAGTGCCCTTGTGCGATACTTCACCCGTTTCACAGAAGAGTCATTTGCCACTTTAATTGCGTTGATCTTCATTGTTGAGGGCTTCAAGAAGTTGTTCCATGTATTGCATGATAGCCCAGTGACTAAAGGTTACATAACTAATCATAGCTGTTTATGTTATCCGGGCGAGGAAGATTCATCAGATCATCACATGACAGACAGCTCGTCTTTCTACAACATAACACCCCTGGACTATCCTATAGGAGACTGTGCAAGGTATGGTGGTCAGCTTGTGGGTGCGGCATGCAATGATAATGTGTTTTTCCTGTCTGTCATCCTTTCTCTCGGAACCTTCTTCCTGGCAGTCTCGCTGAAGGAATTCCGTAGCAGCAGTTATTTCCCAACAAAGGTGGGTTTCATTTCATTTTATGCTCCAGACTGTCCTACAGGTACATGAGCATCAACTCCTTATAGGGAGACAAAGGCAAAACATACACATGTTTTGGCTCAATCAGTCACTGCATCATAAGTGATAAGAATGCCCAATATCTTGTTCTTTTTGGTCTTGTCTCAAACTGTGGCAAAATCTTGTCGTGGTAAAGATGATGTTAGATATTTGCTCCAAAATATCAGGATTTCAAAAAAAGCTGGTGACAGCTGGAGTTCTGCAGGCTTCTTGATAACATGTCAGCAGTTAATCTGCTCAAAATAATTACCTTTTGGCTCTTAATGAACTTTTCACAGTCCATCACTTTTACTCAGTCTGATGCTTAAGCAATTCAATTAGATTAGTGGTCCCAACCAAAAACAGCACTTTCCAAGATAACGCATCGAAGCTATTGAACAATTTACCAGAATCTATTAGAAACTGTAAAGATTATAGATTGAACCTTTTTAAGACTTTCAAGGAATTTTTTTATGTAATAGAGTACAGAGTGATTAGTTGGTTTTACTCTAATTTCTTTTCTGTTAATCCTACTTCTACCTGATGGATCTGTTAATAAACCATTATTATTATATTATTATTAGTATTATTATTATTATTATTATTACATCAGAACATTTTGAAACCCCTTGGAAAATAGTTTATCCTATGCTTCCTGAGCAAGGATGTGATGTCTAATTTTAATAACTTAAATTTTTAGTGTCTTTCCCACAACAGGTCCGCTCAGTAATCTCTGACTTTGCCATCTTGATCAGTATCATGGTTATGGTTGGTGTGGACTTGGCATTTGGTGTCAACACTCCTAAGCTTGACATCCCATTGAAATTTGAGCCAACAAACAGTAAAGCCAGAGGATGGATAATCCCACCTTTGGGTAAGAACCCTGTGTGGACCATCCCTGCCGCAGCAATCCCAGCCTTACTAGCCACTATCTTAGTTTTCATGGATCAGCAAATTACAGCACTGATTGTAAACAGACGAGAACACAAACTCAAGGTATGAAGATCTGTTTTCTGTGTAAGGCATAACGTACAGATATCTTTTTTAGTGCCTGCTTGAAAAACAATACTTAATAACTTAAAAGTGTCTGGTAAAATTTTAATGACACAGATCAATATGAAGCTTCAACATTTGCCCCCACAAAGCTGGATTCAGTGGTCAATTTTTTTTATAAAAGGCAAAATCAGCAACTGTGACTTTCTACATATTGACCAACCTTTAATAACTAGACCTTGAAGACCTTTACTTTTGAGCCACTCCCTCACAAAAATTAACTCTTTACCTATGGATACCTTCATGTTTAAGGTAAAACACTTGTATTCTGCTGGAAAGATTTGACACTTCTGGTTTAATTTCCCCACTCCAGCTGGGCAAGGTTCAAATACCCATCCCCTGTGTTTTAGTCTAAGACCAATGCTACCTTATAGGAATCCTAGCCCAAGGCCAAAATAAGCCACAAAAACCTTGAATTAGATCTCAAACTCTATGGGTTTTTTAATTACAATCTAAGCCTGAACACTTAAAAGCCTTAGACAAAACAGATCAACTTTTACCTAGCACTTCACTGATCTGAAATTACTTAGTACCAAGGTTATGTTGCCAACAATGGGTTAACATTTTGGACCAAATCAGCAATAAGTATGTGCTTTCAATTAGACTGGTAATTAAACTCTCGTTATGTTATTTCTCTTTACAGAAAGGAGCAGGTTATCATCTTGATCTTCTACTTGTGGCTATTATCATTGGTATATGTTCATTGCTGGGTTTGCCCTGGGTAGTAGCAGCCACTGTTCTGTCAGTCGGTCATGTGCAGAGTTTGTTTGTAGAATCTCAGTGCACAGCTCCTGGAGAGAAAGCACAATTTCTTGGTGTGAGGTATGTTGGCTTGTCATTATGCAAATACATTACGCTCTTGAACATACCTTAGAGCAAATGAAGTTACTTGAAAGGGGTGCATTCATTTGCAAGGTGCCTGAAAGGTGTTGCAGTGAATGACAGAAAGTAGATCCACTATGTTGCAAGAAATTTTTGTAGAGGTTTTAGTTTGCAGCTTTGCAGCTTACACATACATTGGATATACATTTAGTGCTAAATTTTCCAATATTTAAACAGCGTTTGCTACATGTTGCATTGATCTAGATACATCAAACCCATCAAAGAATAGTAGTAATAGATAACAACATGTAACACTCTATGAATAGATTCTAGTAACTCCAGCTGTACATTTGTTATGTACCTAACAGGGAGCAACGTATCACTGGCACATTCATTTTCATCTTGATTGGCCTGACTGTGTTTATTGCTCCTATACTTAAGGTTTGTGTTTCTTTGTAACTTCCCCTTAAATTTATGTTTAACCTGTTTTTTGCATGCAATTTAAAGAAAATTTTGTTTTATTTGGCTTTTGTAATACTAACAGCAGGTTTCAAGAAGTGTTGAAATTGATCAAAACTAAACTCATTATGACATGGTCACTCCTGTTTTCCCTCAAAATAAGCAGTTGGCGTGTGTGTGTGTGTGTGTATTGGGGGGGGGGGGGGGGTATTTTCTTTACTTTGAACTTTCATTGGTTCATTGTGATAATTTCACTTACTCTGATTGGCATTTATGGCTACTTCTGTGTTGGTCACATGACACTCAATCATAATGTGCTCTAATCTTTTCCATGTGTTAAGTTATACTGGATTTGATTGCTTCATTTTTAATTTGCCACCTTTTTTCTATAGTTTGTTCCAATGCCTGTTCTTTTTGGTCTCTTCTTCTACATGGGATTCTCAGCCCTTAGGGGACTGCAGGTTAGTACCAACCTGTGCCTATTGATTAAATGTACTGGGAGATGCATGAAGCAGTGGCTGTTTATTGTTAAGAGAACCTGAAGACATGGACGATTCAGGGATACTCATGAATTGTTGGGAAAATGTAAATAGTGCTGTAATTTAAGGACTAGTTACAGCTTGCTGAGGACAAAACTGAAAGGAATCTATGGTGGCACCCCTAAATACTCAAGGAGAAATTCAGGGTTTGGTTCTTGATGATGGACCAACAAAAATACTGGGAGGATTCATGTAGTAGAATGCCGACCTTGTTAAAAATGCTTAAGGGAGTGTGAGACTCCGTAATTGGAGGGCTCAGAGCAAGAACGATCCCTTGATTTTTCGGCCATAAAGGGATTGTTCTTGCTCTGAGCCTTTCAATTGATTCCCACACTCATAAAAATGCAGAGTCTACAGGGTGTCTTCTAGTGGACCAAAAACCTCATTAAAATGCCGAGGGGGAGATGTTGTTTACCAAACAAATTTTGAAAAAGATGTATGTAGCTTAAAGGTATAAACTAAAATACCACTTAAGAGGTCATAGTCATATTCTTGAGATATTTGGTCACCAAATCATCTGATTATTTACTGATGCGATTCTTCTTTTGGCCAACAGTTCTTTGATAGGTTAAAGATCATGTTTATGCCTGTGAAGCATCAACCTGATCTGATGTTCCTGCGACAAATTCCTCTCAAGAGAATCCATATCTTTACACTGATTCAGCTATTCTGTTTGGCTGTACTGTGGATCATCAAATCCACTGATGCTGCCTTGATCTTCCCTGTTATGGTTTGTACTTGCTTTATGCATATAAAATGAAAAACTTTTTTTATCAGTAGATGAAAGAGTATGTACCACCAATTTATAATTTTCTTACTATTTTAGTATATTGATGTGCTCTGTCCAAGGGGTTAGGATTGTGAATGAGGCGATATGATATTTAACAAATATTGTAAACCTAGTTATTTGTGATGTAAATCACCTTTCTCTTTTTGCATGGTGATTAAAATTTGCATTGCATTGTCAGTGTTGTAATGTTGTCATACGTCTGTTAATTAGTAGGTCACAGATGACATCAAAATGTGGTAACCTTAAAAAAAGTGGCACACAAGGGGCAGCCAAGTTTGTCTCTGATGTTCTTACCACATTTTGATGTCTTCAATTACTTAAGAGACCCACTGCAACATGGTCAAGCGCTTCTTTTTTTAGGAACCATTTTTTCACATGTTTTGGCTGCTATAAAAGACTCTCTGAAAACCTTTCCATTTGGTTAACAGGTATTGATGTTGGTTGCTGTACGTAAAGTCATGGAGAAGATTTTCAACCTCCATGAACTTGAAGTGTTGGATGACTTGATGCCAGAGAGCATCAAAAAGAAGCAAGCTGATGAGGCAGCAAAAAAGAAGGATGATGACTATGATTCTGATGAGGATGAATATGACGAGGACGGTTTTAATCATTGTGATGAAACTGATGGCAAAAAGGTGAATATAAGCTAATCTTTACATAGTGGTGTATATGGTGTAAGTTTTGCATGATATTATCTTTTCCATGTAAGTCACCCTTGGTAAGTATTGATTAGTCTCGGTAGAGCCAGTAAAAGCCAAGCCTACTTTTTGCATGGGTTCATGATGTACCTGTTTTATGAATTTGATATTAAACTCCTCCCTATCCTTGTAAGGTAGACAGCTGTGCTGCTGGTAAGGGTGCTGTGTATTAGTGCTGTGTTTCTGCTCTTGCAAATTTCTCTCAGTAAAGCAGATAGTGTTTACTGTGTAGATTGAGAGTCTCAAATTCCTTTATATGCTAATCCTGTTGAAAAAACTACCACACTATAGTGATGGTGATTGGTGCTTTTGGTAGTTATCGAAGACCATCTTGACCTGATTTGTTTACCTGTAGACATGCAAAGAGTCTGTGTGTGTGACAGTTGATTTCCATTTTGACTTATTTTCTCTGTATACAAGGCAAAGCAACAATTGGTTTCATGCTTAAGTAAGCAATGGGAAAAAAGAGAACCTTTCATTTTGAATATTTACAGATGTAAAATTACTTGTTCTCCATGATTAAAACTCAAAGATAAAAAATCAAAAATGAACTAAGACCTGCAACATTTCCTTCTGTTGGACATTGGGACTGAAGGATTTAAAAGTTTGTTTGTGATGTGTTTCCCTGTTCAGTAAATTCTACATTTTAAACCTTTTTTCAGGCCCTCACTGATGGAAAGGAGTTAAATGGCACTGCAAATGTTGTAGCACCAATGAATATCTCAGAGGAGATGTGCAGGAGCTCACTGTGGAAACAGTTTGTCAAGGATGGAACAACAGCAAAAAGCAGAAAAGGCAAACCTGGTGACAAATCCAAGCATAAACACAAGCACCATCACAAAAATAGGCACCATCGTCATAAGAGAGATCGTGAAGGATCAGCTGACGAAGAGGGACTGTGGATGCTTGAAAAGAAGAAGGAAAATGGTGAAGATGCAGGAAGTGATGTTGAAATGGGAAGAAAGCTTTCTACAATAAATGAGGACAAGCAAGATATTGTTATTGACATGGAGGAGATACAGAAATCATTACTTGAGTTGAATGAAATTGGCAGCACTGTAGCTGGTGAAGGAGATGACAAGCAAACTCCTGGTGATGCGGAAAATCCTGTTTAGATTGTTTCTTGCATGAATTCTGGCATTCATTTAATGCCAGTATTGTTGGTCACATGACAACATATTAGTACGCATACATGATTAAAAGGCAGGTTCAATTGCATAAAATGGCACACTTTGAGGTTGAAATAGACAGCAGCAACCCAATGTATTTAATTAGTATCTCCAGTAACAGACATAAGTTGAAGTGCATGCATGTTTACATGGCAACGGTGAATTTTCAATTTTATAAAATTTTAAAACTCCAGATTTCTCTTTGGACGTGGCAATGTTTATTGACTGCATTAATTGATGAAAAAAATCTGATTTTTAATTGAAGGCTGTATTCAAACATAAAGGTGAAAAAGCTGTATAGGAAAGAGATCTTTTGATGTGACAAGTTATGTGTGGTTAAAAAAATCCATAAGATCTGTTCTAAGAGTTGGAATTGAATTAGAACTCCCTGGGAAATTTAATTATCTGTTGAGAAAGATTTTGACATTTGGCAATTTCTTCACATAATGATCTCTGAATAGAAACGTTTGTCTCAAAAATTCATCAGACTTTGTGTGTGGGCTGAAAGATGATATATAAATTTAGGTGGAAAACAGCATCGAGAATGCTTTGTGGTAAATCAAACGTTGCCTGTTAAGATTGCTTGAGAATTCACGTTCTTTAAAAAAACTATAATTAAGGTAGATATAGCAGTTAAGAAAAAGGCTTTATGTGGAGAATAACTTTAGTTGTTGATAAGAATTGTATTTGGCCGGCTTTTAAGCACAAATGGTGAGTACTTACATTGGGTTGTAAGTTATATTTAATAAATAAGCTGTCAAAGTGGTAAAATAAAAAGATATCCATAAAACAAATAAACAAACAAACAAACAAACAAGCCTTTCCAGCAGAGACAACAAACAGTGTTGTGTAGCAGTTTTTGCTGTAACTAATAAATTTCAGTATTTTTGTATTTTTAGTAAATAAGGCATAGCAGAGGCGGGTCCTCTTAATAATTGTTTCTAGCTTTTGTCAGTTCAGCCTCTCAATCATGGTTTTCTTTCTCTCACAAGACGTCTGTGACAATGCAAACTCAGACCTCACCCTCAGGCTCAAGCCATATTTTTTCACTTTAAGTTTCCCTTCATTTTGAGATTTCTTTCAGTTACTCAGGATAAAATGACCAAAACTAATGGTTACTGAAGGAATTTATTTTGAAACTTAAGTTAATGTGAATTAAATTTGTGACAATCTTGTATTTGTGACTTTCAATAGAAGGTATTTATTCCAGCTTAATGCTATAATTTAAGAGGAACCGTCCAATTTTGTAACTTTGTAGTAGAATTTTTTTCTGTGTTTGTGGGCGTACTTTCAATCTTTTGCATTTGATTTTCCAGTCATGGTGTCCCACTTAAAGTATGAATCCTTTTTGACAGTAATTTACTCTTAATCAAATATTTGCTTTTGTAACTTAATGTACTGATTTTTATGGTTTTCAGTCAGTGATAACATCAATGAAATTGATCTTGCAATTATGTTCACCTTATATTTTAGTAATAGTACTAAGAGCACTGTAGGCTTAAGCCATAGATTTTTGATAAGTGACATTTGAGAATGTTTTATGCAAGTTGCTCATGCAGTAATTATCATCCTCTAGGTTATACCTGATGTTGTTGAACTTCTCTCTTGGTTCAAATTTTGTCATCATTTGTTGCTGCTTATAGTAATGAATGCAAATTCATTTGAACAAAATACACTTCATAAATAGGCTTTGAACCAAGAATAAAGTTTAACGATGATATACATTTCACTTCGTCATTTTGGTTTAAAATTGTCTTAATCAGTTGGAATAGTAAATGTATTTTTTTTATTTTCCTCAATTTCGGATGATCATAAAACCAATCTGATCACTAAAATTTTAAACCTCCATGAATTTTTAACTATACTATAGACAAGCTTTATTCACTACACATATTCCAAACTTTTAGAAATGTATGTAAAAAGTATTGTAATGTCAAAATATTTATTGTAAAAACACAGCAAGTTAAAATTAGTTTGTAATTAATGAGGTTACCTCAACAAAAATCTGTGTATTGTGTAATTCACAAGATTTAAGTATGTGATCATAATTGCGTGCATTTGGGAACCAGTTCATTGTCTTTTGTTTTCCAGTTGTAAACAACTTAGAGAATAATTTTGTCAAGAAGCAACACGAGTTTGACAAATAATTTAAAGAAGGTACAAAATTGCCCGTAAGTGAACGTGATATGTCATTCAAAAGTTTTGTTCATAACTTATCTGCTAAACTATTGTCAATTTGTGTAAGTGTTTCTGGAAATCAAATAAAGTTCACACATTCACATGATAACCAGACTATTTTGAGACTAGATTATTCAATAACATATTTTGATAAGTGTTACATTTCCTCGAATAATTCGAACAATCACCCGAGCACTTAATGAAAATTTGGCGAAAAGGAGCAGGGGGGGCGGTGCTTATTAAATTAGCACAGCAATAGAACCAAAAAAAAGTCAAAAGAAAAGATAACGCATATAAAGAACTTTGCAAGCAGATAGAAATAACAGGAAGGGGAAAGAAAGTATTCTCCTTTACTAATTTCGCTGTAGTTGAAGCTTTTGAAAAACTTATAAATGAAGTGGCAAGAAGAACAGGTTTTCCTCGTATCCCCACTATTTAAGAGAGTGAGGGAGAAGGGGGGGGGGCGCTTATTTGATACTATAGCCTAGGGGCTGGGCGCTTATTCTGGGTAGGTCGTTTATAAAAGCGTGGGCGCTTATTCGAGGAAATACGGTATTTTTACGTTTAATATCAGGTAGTGTCACAGATGGAGTTCAGTACCATGTCAGTACCAGAGATTCAACTGTAGAATCCTCTACCATTTACCTACAGCTTCTCGAATACGTAAACAATAACTACGTATTGCTGTAGGCAGTGTAAAGAATTCAATATACTTTTGGCTATGGGACGTTTTCAATCACTTGCTTAGCAGCTATGTGACGGAATTGGAGCAAAAGAAACTGTACATATATGTGAGGAGTTCAATCCCTTAGGATCGCTTTAAACAACACCATGGCCGCCATTTTATGGTTTTTAACCAATATAGTTGCAGTAATATAGCCAGTAAGACGCGCGTTTCTCTGCCGGCGGGAAGATTTGAGACGAGTCAATCGAGGAGAGGTTTGCTGTACCCCCCTGGCAGACCCGGTTCTCACCGACTTGCGTTGTTCAAGGCCTCATACCTGTATAGCCTTTTTTTCGGGGAGTATCCCTTCTTCGGAGTGAAGTTGTGATGCTCTGAAACCGCGTTTCAGTGAGAGCACGAAGTGCGTTTGACCCCAATTCAGACGCATTTTCTGGCTAGAGTTTTAAGTTTGCAGGCACTAGCATGACAAGTTACTTATTTCTCATCCAACAAAGGACGATTTCTGTGATCTAACGATCTTGTAATCAATATTTTTGGCTGCAGTTTCCTCTTCTCATAGAAAAAAAAAACAAAGATCCAGGGACATTTAGTGATTTTTACACAGGAACTCCTTTAAGATAACTTTATTGAAAATCAACGCATACCCTAGATTATTTACAAGAAACTGCTTTTATCGGAAATCCATTCGTGTAAGTACGTTAAAATATTAAAACTTTTTCCTTAAAAGAAAAATCCTTTCATGCATTGGAACTGACGCACATTATACCTCATCTGATTCCAAACAGTATGTTTTTGAAATGGCGATTGTTCGAAACGTTAAAAAAATACTGTTTCAGTTCAATATATTAAAGGCTCTTTATGAGGAAATCATCTTCTTAATCTCTGGAAGTCATAGTTACTCTATAAACCTTCGATAAACTATTCGTTAAACGTAATTTATGCAACTTTGCCTTTGTCCACACACGATAAATATATGATTTTCATGGTACAAACAAACTATTTGCCGTCTCAAAACAAAAAAACATTTTGGATCGTTTTGCGAACGCAAAAAAACTCAGCTAGTGATATTCACTCATTGTATTATGACATAAATGTTCTTCACATATAATGTATAGCTTTGCAAAGTTCTTACGCGAGAGTCAACAAGGTCTCTAATACATTGTATACCCGGGTTTTCTCCCTCCACTTACTCGCTCGGTGAGGATATGTTTTCTCAGTGATTTCATTTCTTTCATCTTGCCTTTCAGAAGACTTCTCAATCTCTCCGATTCCTTTCTGCTCTGCTTAATGGCCTCCAGAAGCTCAGCTTCCTGCCGTGATCCTGAGGTGTTTTCCAGCTCTCCTCTTTTCTGAAGCATGTTCTCCATCTGAGCGCACTTAAGGTCTGCGTGTAAGCTCCCCAGTTCAAGATGATAACTCTCTTTCAACATCCGTAATTGCTCCATTAGATCCGCAATCTGCCTTGTTCTCTCGTCCAGCTGGTCTTTCATGATCTCCAACACGTCGCTTTTTTCGCTGGTATGCATCCTAGTTGCCTGGAGACGAAGCTTCAGGTTGTCAATCTCCATGTCTTTGGACTCAATTGCAAGCTTGGCTGCTATTTCATCCGCGTGTCGTTGTTGTTCACTGGCCTCCTGGATAATGCGAACTTCTCGCTCCAGGGCCTCAACGCGATCTTGTAAAACCTTGACTTCATTCTCGTAGCGCGTGCGCAGTCGTTCAAGCCTTTCCTCCTTTGACAGACTGGCGTTCTTCTGCTGTTCCATTTCACTAATTACAGACTTGACTTCTCTCTCCCAGCATTCTCTCTCGATGACATAGCTCTGAAGTTTGCTGTTAGTGGATGTTAGATCCAGCTTCAACTCCGATTCCCGGTTGTGTTTCTGCATCAGATCTTTCTTTAGGAATTCGTTTTCTTTTTCTGTCACTTTGAACTTGGTGACGTTATCGTTGTATTCTTTTTCTTTTTCTTTCAGCTCTTTCTTCAGCGACTCTGACTCAGCTTTCAGCTTACCAAGCTCCAGTTGTTTCCGCGCCGAGTCAGCGCATGCACCACTCTGGATCTTCACCATCTGTCGTTTGAGGTTCTCAACCTCGTGGAAGGAATTGACGGATTTTTGCTCCGCAGCTGTCAGTTGTTCTTCTGATCTATTCAGCAAATGTTTTATATGGTCCTTCTGTTCAATGACCCCTTTTAATTCGCGATCGAGACTCTCCTTTTCGCATTTGACCTCGCGAAGTTGGCCGTTGAAAGCGTTGCTAAGTTCTTTCTCCTTATGAAGCAGGGCTTGGTATTGAGCACAATCTCTTTTCGTGGTGTCTAGTTGTTGCTTCAAGATCTCGTTAGTTGCTTGAAGACTTCCACTCTGGATCTCAAGTTCTTCGCATTTCTCGCGCGAATGTTGTAAATCATCCTTCATTTTCTCTAACATCGAAGTTTTGTCATCAACGTTGTTTTTCAAGTCTGCAATTTGATTTTCGAGGCTGGCTTTCTCCAGTCTATTTTCCTTGCAGTCCTCCTCTAACGTGGCCATCCGTTCGTCCGCTCTTGCAAGCTTCGCATAGAGTTCCGTTTTCTTCTCATTGGTATTGTCATACATCTCTTCCAGTTCTTGGATCTTCGATTGATTTATGCAAAGCTCTTTATCTTTTTCTTGAATCACTTGCTCTTGCGCTTTATCGTTTGCCTCCAGCTCAAATGTCCTTCGCTTTAACTGCAAAATGTTTTCCTGAAGTGTGTCAAGTTGTTGTTGACTTCCTTTGATTTCGTTCTTAGCATCAACAATCTGCCTTCGCGAGGCTTCTAGATCCTTGTAATATCTCTCCTTGTCTTCTTCTGAGGTTTTCAACTGCGCCTTTGTTTGTTCTAATGCCTCTTTCGTATCCCACAGCTCCTTCTCCAGTACGATCTTTTCTCCTTTAGAGTCAGTGATTTCATTATCCTTCTCCTTTTCCATTTCCACGCATTTGAGTTTCAGTGCTTCAAGACGTCTTCGCAATCTTTTAACATCATCTTCCAATTTTCCTTTTTTCTTCTCCAAATCATGGAGGTATCTTTTCATCTCAGCTGCGTTATTCTTCTCCTTTTGAAGACCTTCGTCCAGACGAGCAATTTCGTCTGATTTTTCAGCCAACACTTGTTGAAGTCCTCTGTTGTCGTTAAAAGACGAGAGGCACGCTTCATGGAGAGAGGTCACAACATCTTTCATTGATGTATTCATTGGTGTAACTGGGCGAGCATCACCCCCGTCAACCCCTTCCTCGTCTTCTTTAGCCATGAATTCCGATGACGGCAGCTCTGCGAAATATTCGCCGCTGTTCGTAGCCTTCATCTTGCGTACAACGTTAAGCTTTGCGTGCGCTTCGGCCAAGAGATCTTCTACGTCCGTATTTCGTTCCTTGAGCTCCTTCTCCAACCACTCTACCTTCTCTAAATTGATATCCAAGCGCTCTTTCAGATCATCGCTTTCTGCGCGCGTTTTTTCCAGCGCATCTGTGGTCTTCGTCAGCTCGTTCTTCAAGTTTGCGTTTTGCATTGACAAATCTTCCAACTCTTGATTGCGTTTGGTAATGTCTTTCTCAAAAACTTTCTCTTTTTCGCTTAGAACGTCATTTGTTTGTTTTAGGTCGTTTTCCATCTTTGCTAACGCTGTCTGAGTGATCTCTAACTCTTGCTTGAAATTTCCACGCTCTCCGACTACCTTCTGATGCAGTGTTTTCAACTTGGTCATCTGATCGCTCCATGCTGATACCTCTTTCTCGTTTGTTTCTCTTTCAGATTGCAGTGTTTCTTGAAGGTGTTGGTTCCTCTGCGCACTTGATGCAATCTGCTCCTTTAGTTCCCTGATCTCTGCTCGTAAGTTTTGAATGGTTCCTTCGGCTTCCGTTAGCTCGTTTTGATTAGCCCAATACTTCTCAAATACTTCCTGCTTCTTCTCTTCCAGCGACTTGATCTTGCTTTCGTCCTTTTTCAATTCTTCTTGTAGCTCTTCCAATTGTTTTTGTCGCCGGTCCAGCGCACTTGTGGCCACGGAAAGCTCCTTCTTCGTTAGCAGCAAATCATTCTTCAAACTGGCTGCAGTTTCTTCGTTGCTTGAGATTATGACTTCTAAAGCCTCATTAAGGGACATAACTTTACTGGAACTCGTTTCTTTCTCCTTCAGGAGCTCATCACAAGCTCCCTGTAGCTTCGAAATCTTCTCGTCTGCGGCAATCATCTCATTCATTAACTTCTTTCTCTCTTTCTCGCTTCCTTCATGGTTTTTGTAAAGACTCGTATACTGATCATTCTTATCCGCCAGTTCTTCCTCAAGTCTCTTCATCTCAATGGCCTGTAGCTCCGTCTCTTTTCTCAGTGCGTTTCCCGTTGTCTCTAAAATACTGACTTTTTCCTCCAGGTCCGAGTTCTCCTCTTGCAGTCTGCTAATCGAACGTTCTAAATCTTGTAGATTGTTCCTATACGTCTTGCATACCGCAGTGTTTTCACTGAGGTCCAGCTCCACTTTTTGCCGTATGTCCCTCTCCGAATTCATCTGTTTTTTCATACTGTCAAGCTCCTTACGGGTGTTCTTTAATTCGGATTGATCCTGTCGTAGCTCCTCTCTCATTGTACACAACTCAGTTTTGGCCTCTTCTTTCTCTTTCAAGACATCCTCTAACTTGCTCCTGAGTTCTCGTAAACTTGCTTCCGTATTCTCCAACTCGCGACTGAGTGTCTGCTTCTCGCTGTATTCTGCCTCTAGCGAGGCAATCTTCTTTTTGTCGTTCCGAGCTTCCTCTTTCATTGCTCTTGCACTTGCTTCTAGATGCGAGATTTTCTCGTGACAGACCAGTAGTTCTTTCTCCAGAGCTGTCTTTTTTTGTTCAGTTCTTGTTAGATTTGAATCCAGTGTTGATAGCTGTTGGTTCGCGCGCATCAGCTCCGTGTGTTGTTTTTCTGCTTTGTTCTCGTATTCACCAAAAAGTGACTCCAGCTCGCTGCACTTGTTCTGTAGTTGAATTATAGATTCGCAATTCTCCAGATTTTCCTCTTTCAAGTGGTCGTGCTGTTCTTTCTTTTCTTCCAACAAAGATTCCTTCTGAGCCAGATCTTCTTTGAGCTTTTTCATCTCTTCGCATAACTTTTGAGAAGTAGTTGAAAACAAGGACAGCTGATTTCGAAGTAAAGCGAACTCCTTGTTGATAAAATCGACGTCTCGCTGATAGCTCTTCGTCTCGTGTTCGGTTACTTTGGCCTCCGCGCGGAAGAAATCAAGATTTCGTTCTGTAGCTCGGATACTTTGGCGCAAATTCTGCATTAGAGCCTCATTGTCTGAAACACTAGTTTCGCTTTCTGCTTGACTGAAATTTTCTTTCTCTGCGACTCTTCCTTCTTTGTTAAGAGCATTTCTGATGGTTCCTTTCATCTCGCGGTTCTGTTGCTTAATCTCATTGATTAAGCTCTCTGCATTCTGTTGCTGCGCTAACACCTTTCTTGTGGCAACGAACAAGTCGTTTGTTAGACTCTGCCTTTCATCTTCAAGTTCTTGTTTCTTTGCTTGCAGCTCTTGGATGACTTCTTCTTTCACGCTGCAATCTCTGAGTACACTCGCTTTCTCTAAACGGGTTTTTTCCAGCAATATATCCAACTCTTCATTTTTACCTTTCGACTCGAGGAGGCTCTTTTCCATCGCTTCATTTCTCTTTAGACTTCCTTGGTGCGCAGTTGTCAGCTTAGCCATATCTAAGTTAGCCAGGTTTAATTTCTGCTGCAGATTTTCTTCCTCTTGAACTGATTTCTTGTACCGTTCTTCCATTTCCGACAAGTCTCTCTTGACTAACTGTAGTTCGTCGGAAAGCCCTCTTATCTCCGAGGATGAAGCGATCTTGCTCTTTTCCATTTCTTCCATTGATTTTTCAACTTCTTTCTGCTTCCCCTCTATTGCTGTGATATGGTTTTTCGCTTTGTTCAATTCATCTTGCAGTTCTTCACAATGCTTCAAAGTTTCGTTCTTCACTGTTTGCATAGCTTCCCTGTCTGTTTTCTCCTTGTCGGCGGACTCTTTGAGTTTCTTTATCTGTCTTTCAGCTTCAGAAATCGTCAACTCCACCCCACACTTTGCCTCAGTTAACGCCATGATATCTTTCCGTAGCTTCTCGTTTTCGACCTGGAATGCATCATTTGTTATCTCAATCTCAGCCATTTTTACTTCAAACGACTTCAGCTCGTTTGCCAGTTTTGAACTTTCTTCATCTGCTCGCCGTAAATCGTCTTTCAAACTTTCGTTTTCCGCTTGGAAATTTCCATTGGCGTTTTCTAGATCCGAATTGATCTTTTTCATGGTGTCAACTTTGATCTTCAAGTTTTCTTCATTCTTCCTCGCCTCGGCCAAATCCTTTTCCATGGCTTTGTTTTCATTTTCCAAAGACCTCTTTTGTTCTCCAAGCTTATTGACTTTAGCATTGGATAGCTCGTCACGAATGCGCGAAGCTCTAAGTTCGCCTTCGAGTTCTTGCCACCGTTTTTCAGATTCCTGGTATTGTGTTAAATCCTTTTGCAGTTCGCCGTTCGCCAGTTGTAAATCAGCGCACTCAGCCTGCAGGCTACTCACTAACGTCTCCAAATCTCTCTTCTTCTTCAACAGCACATCCACTTTGTCTTCAGCTGTCGTTGCCATAGAAACACCACTTGGCGCGGAAAGGAAAATATCAGCATGATCGTTTGACAAAGCAGAAAGCTTTTCTTCTATGATTTGAAACCGGTTTTTCTGACGGGTACTTTCATCCAGCAGCTGTCGAGAAAGTTCCTCGTATTTCTTTTTCTCACTGCTTTCATGCTCAAACTTCTCTGCCACAGATTTGGAGTACAATTCCAAGGTTTTTTCTTTCTCTTCCTGTAGGTCAATTTTCTCGTGTAACTCTGCAAAATCCCTCTCGCGATTCTCAAGAGTTGTTTTCAAGAGGTCCGCCTGCGTCGATACCACGGCAAAACTGCGCTCGAGCTCGACAGCTTTATTTTTAGCTTCTCGAGTTTCGGCCTCCAACGACTTGACTTTGTCTTCGAGACCAATGAGACTTTTCTCCTTTATGCCAGCGTCGTTTTGCAGAATTTCATTCATCTGCGATAAATGCTTCAATTGGCTCTCCTGTTTCTCCTTTAGGACAGTGAATTCGCACAATTTTCCACGCAATACTTCGTTATCTCGAACAACCGCACGGAAACTTTCGATCATGGTCGGCATCTTGCATAGAAGTCCAGTTTCCTGGCCGAAACCATCACCGGAGAATGCATTATCTGAGGCAACAGAGTTGGGGCTGCTTGGGCCAGAGCTGAACTCAAAAGCAGATGTTAAAGAAACTCCTAGAGCAGAATCCGGAGAAATGCTTTCATCTCCTCGGAAACTTTTGCGCAGGTCGTCTATAGTTCTTGACGCGTTTAAAATCTGCTCCTCCATTTTTTCTTTTTCCTTCTCAGAAACTTCTAGAGCGGAATCTTTTTCGTTCAGTTTTTTCTTCACTTCTTCGATCTCACGCTTCATCCCGTAGTTTTGTTTCTTGACGATCTCATACGCTTCGTTCGCCTCTGAGCACGCTGATTTCAAACTGAACAATCTTTCTCGTTGCTTCTTATCGTCTCCTTCCATCTTCTCCAACCTTATCTTCAGCGTGTCTAAAGACTTCATGTTTTCCATGCGCAGTTTCTCCTCTCGATGAATGCTCTCGTCTTTATCCCTAATCTGTGATCGCAAATCATAATTCTCAGCCGTCAGCTGTTTAATCTTCTCTTCTTTCATTTTAACCGAGGCTTGCGCATCGCTGAGTCCTTTTTGCAGCATGATCATTCGTTCGGTGGTATTCTTCAAATCTTTTTCAACCTTTTCCTTCTCTTCTTTGGTGAGCAGATACTTCAGCTCTGCTTCTTTCAGCTTGTCAGCAATACCGTGATACTCAGCTTCCATTTTCGCTTTCTGTTGCCAGTTGACGGCTTGTTTCTGAACTTCCATTCTAAGCTGCTCGACTTGGCCTTGCAGTGTCCTGTTTTCTTTTTGCAGCTTCTCGATGGAGTCGTCTTTGGCTACAAAAAAGAAACGTAAATGTTTAACACTTGGCTGTAACGATAGGCAAGAAGACAAACAAACAAACACTTGACAATATGAAGAGTAAACTGACTTATACCTTAGCTATAAACAAGCTAACGCCAAATCAACGCGTCCACGCCGAATTTACAAATACAAGTTATTGTTCTCTCTTAATCCAAGTGGGAATTGGGTTTTTAAATAATTGGGGTTCTTTGCATTTTTATTACCGATTAAAAAATATGTGAACTGTAAACTTTAACTCACCCAATTAAACGGGCCTTTCTTTGAGTGTGAACCAAATATTTTTTCTAATTCATGTTTATGAATATCCGAGTTAGTTTTAAATAACTTTTGAGTAAGCGTTAGATCCTTTGCGTTCACGAGGTCGGCGTCGCTCAACAAAACAAAAGCTTATTTGAATCAAACGGAGAACGCGTGCATTATAATGGACAAAGGTTTGTAATCGAAGTGTTCAACACGCTTACGCAAATCTTATCAAAAACTTTCCAGAGAAGTCTAACTCAGTTTTATTAACATTGCACTAGATATCAGATATAAGAATTTCTCTCCGGTCGGGGCAAATTTGTCTAATATGAGAGAGTTTGGTTGATGGAACAAAGCTAGCAATATCTTCATTAAAGCCAATAAATTCCTATACGTAAACAGTTATAGAAAATTTAATGTAAATTCTGCAAATTACGATGTAATTGCGTCAAAAGATTATCAGGCTATATATAGGTTTATCCTGTGTACGGAAAAAAATTATCGAGAATTCCGTGATCGTTTTATTTTTTTTTTTCTTTTCTGTGATATTTGTTCTACCTCTCAGAAACGTGCCATCCGTTAAACAACGATTTTACAGTTTTCCTTTGTTTTTGATCTCCGCTACACGTAAAAGTGGCAACTTATTGTTCACATTTGTTTAGTTGTAAAAGACCGCCAAAGATTAAATCAAACGAGAGAGTATAACAGATTTTGAACTCCCCTATGCTGATAAAACATCCTCAGTGGACAGAAAAGTCGCTCGCGATAATTCCAGAGTCAGATGATAGTAAACTTTGGATGCGCTTTATAGTTTGACAAATGAATACTTTTCTGATCAAAGTATTCCGCTGAAAAAAGGAAGAAAATTCCAAGCTGTACATCATAAGTTTATCATTGACTAATTGAATGTCTGCACAAGAAAACTGCCTTATAAGTTGCTCGTAATTGATGTTTTTTTCTTTCCACCTTGGAATGCCCACGCTTTCGGTGAGAGGCTTGTTTTATTGTTAAGGAAATTGTAGCTCCATTAAAGCTTTGTTTCAGAAGTCAATTAGACTGGTAATTGCAAATGTTTTACCTATTCCAACAAGATCTGGGAGTTTACTCTCCTAACAGATGGTTATATGTTCCTTTGTAAGTTATTCATAAGAATCGAAGACAACATCGGCCTAATGGTAAGGTTTTTTTTTACTTCAAGACCCGTTTGCTTGACACTGTTTTCAAGTTGTTAGGCTAAGAAAATATTTGAAATGATTAAAAGATTCAAGGAGCATGTCATTAGTAATTGAATGACAGCGCAGCCAAAAGTTGAGTAGAAATCACACTTGATTGTTCTTTCTTTGTCACTCTGAATACACACGAAGGCCTTATCAAATTCGTTTGTGAGGCCCAATTGCAGTGGTAATGGCAAATGTTGTTTAATGATTTTAGTCAACAAACGTTATCATAACGTACAAAGGTTGCCTTATGTTTAAGATATATGCGAATCAAGAACTTATATCTAGGACAATGCAAAAGTAATGTTTTTTTTTTGTGTGGTCATTAATTGACGTTGTTTTTTCCTTTTTAATTAAGCGCTAGCCTTTTGCTTCGCACACATAGCGTAATGAGAGGCTCTGAACAAAAAGGACATTCCCTTTGGGAATTCCTAGTTCTTGAATGTATGTTTGTAAACTTACAAGGTTATCAGCACATAATGAAAGCCACCTTTTTAAAATTTTTTCTTTACTTTCAGTCAAAGTTGTACATATTCGTACATTTTGAAAACGTTTGTACTTGATTAGCTTCATACATAGGTTTTAGTGAGATTTGTGAAAATTAAACAATTATTGCAAAGTTTTGTTGTAATTTGGATGACTCCACAGGGGTTTTGATAAAAGCCGGTCACTAACGGTCTACCGCTACCTATAAATCTCTCACAGCTGTCTTTAAGCTCGTGTTCTGGTTTTGCGGGCACTGCCGCCTTGTAGAGGGTTTCAATTTTCAACCGTTAGCCGTAAAATGGTCAAAAAGTTAATTCTCCGAACTAATGATCACACATTTCCTATTTGATTGTTCGTGAGAATTTGGTCTTATATCAAGGCAATATCTCCTAGATAATACTTTTATAATTCTCGTTATCTCTTTCATTGTTAATGTATAAATGATTGTAGGAGAAATTTACAATTGATAACTGCTGGGTGTGAGAAGTTTATTCGGCGTAACCCCACCTCAAAATGACTTTGTTTAAATAATTTTGATAATAATTTGGTCATATCAATTTTTAACGACATTTTGATATTTCGGCCGGCTATGAGAAAGACGGAGAGTGTAGAACATCCTTTTTGAGTAAGTAGAACTTAAGGTAAAAATTAAAGGAGTCTTGCATTACTGTAGTAATTTGGAACGTTGCAAAGATGATCGTGTTATGCCAAAAAAACAACCAGGCATAGTCAATTTGTTGTCATGATCCATCGGCGCCCAAAAACTGTAAACTGTTATTATCCAATCAGTTTTGTAGGTGATTTTGCGAAGCATCATTTGCACTTATTGTTTTGAACTATACTAAAATTAGTAGTGTTTGGAAACTATTAAAATTCGGAATGTTCTGGTCAAGTGTTTGGGAATTGTTTTGGCCTGTTAGATTATCTTGAAATCCTCGTTCAATCTTGTGGGATTGCTGAGGTTAACTAGCTTAATCAACTCGCGCAAACAGAGGAACCATGAATCTGACCAAGAACTTTTATTCTCTGTCTGCTTAATGACTCGGAATGGCTCTTCATCGGAATGACTGAGTCTCTCTAATTCAGCCCTAAGTACACGCTTTTAAATATCCTATCGTTAGGCATGTTTGGGCTTACGGGATAACTGACCTTGGCAGAGTTAACACATTTTTAGAACGTTAACCCAAACAACTCCACAAAACATTCGAAATGAACAACAAAGTACTTGAAAAACAATCAATCTTCGAGAACTAAAACCTAAATAAAACCTCCCGTTTAGGACTCTAAGCAAGGTCAAAGACAAACCCAAACACGACTGGCGATCACGATTATTGTATGAGAATTGAGCCCTATTACAAAGACACATCACTCAAAAGGTAAAAATAAATGTGTGGTCTTGCAGCACATGACAAACCAAGGCTCACAAGACTCGCACAACGATTTCAAGATAATCTAACAGGCCTAAACAATTCCCAAACACATAGCCACAACATTCCTAATTTTAGTCTTTCCGAACACTTCTAGTTTTAATAGCTCATTACCGGTAAATCATCAATGAAAACTCGCTTACCTGTCAGTGCGGAATCTCTTTCGCGAAGCGCCGCAGTTAAGCTTGCTTTTAGACTCTCAATCTGACTCGTCTTCACTACTTTTTCGTTGATGAGTTCAAGCAGTTCGTTTTCTTTCTCTAACATCTTTTGTGCATTCTTTTCCAGTGTTTTCTCTGTGTCCTTTACGCTATCCTCGAGAATTTGGACCTGTCTCCTTAGTAATTCTAATTCCTTTTCTTGATTGATCTTTTCGTTCTGAAGTCGCCGCACAGTTTCTTCTAAATATCCTTTTTCCTTCTGAATTTCGTCCAGCTCGACTTGGAGAGTTTGTAATTGTTCCTTGACTTCTACGACATCGTTTCCTATCTCCTCGATGTCTTCAACATTTGTGCCATCTATCGGAGGACTCTGAGATAAACTTTGAGCTGCAGCTGTTTCGCTTATGATTTCTCCATCAACAGAGTCAAAATATAAAGGATCTTCTACGCGTTTCAGTGAATCGTCTGCGAATGATCGCTCGAGTTTGTCTTTCTCTAACTGTAAGTGCTCAATAAGTTTATTTTTCTCTATGATTTCCTCCACTTTATGTTCCAAGTTCTTATCCCTTACACCGAGTTTTGTTTCTAAAACTTTAACTTGTTCCTGTAATCGACTAACTCCTAATTGCTCCTCCATAAGTTGTGCAATGGTTTTGTTGTCTTCTTCTACCTGATCTTCCAAGGCTTTCACCTTTTTGTCGGCTTCCATGAGCTGAGCTTTCAAATTGTTGATCGTAATTTGGAGTTTGGAGTTACTAGTTTTCAGTCGTTCCATCTCAAGTCGCGTTTCTGCTTCCTTCATTTTATGCTCCTGTTCTTTCTCGTCGCACTTTTTTATTTCATTCTGAAGTTCATTTTGACATCTTTCTTTATTGCTCCTTGCATCTTCGATTGTAGCTTGCAAATCTGAGATCTGAGTCTTATAACTTTCGATTTCGTCATCGTTGGGGCTGGTTTTTTCTTTTGCCTTTTCGAAAGAATTCTTCAAGTCAAAAAGTTCAGATTCATACCTCGTAATTTTCTCCGCTGAGGCGAGATTTTCTTTTCTTACGTCTTCAAGGATAACTTGTAGATCAGAGATTTGGAACTTGCATCGTTGGTTATCTTTCACCATTGTTTCCTTGTCTTTCTTGGCCTGTTGCAGAGAACTATTTAGATCACAAATCTCGGATTCATTTTCCACAATATGTCTCCTGGCTGCCAGATTTTCTTCACGTTCTGTTTCAAGCGAAGCTTGCAGGTCTGAAATCTGACTCTTGTAGCGTTCACTTTCACAATGTTTGGCATTAACTTCCTTGTTTGCTTTATCCAAAGAGTCTTTCAGACTGGAGATTTCGGATTGATGTTTATCAATTTTTTCTGCTGCAGCACGATTCTCCTTTCTTTCAGCATCAAGACAAGTTTGCAAATCGGAGATTTCAAATTTGTACAACTCGTACTCTTTCGTTACATTGGTGCTCTCTTTCTTTGATCGACCAAGTGAAGTCTTCAGATCAGAAATTTGTTGTTTGTAGTCGTCAATTTCCTTCAAATTGTCATTGTTTTCTTTCTTCACATTATCAAGCGACTCTCTCAAGGTCTCCGACCGGGATTTGTATCTTTCAATTTCTTCAATTGCCCACTCGTTCTCTTTCCTTTTAACTTCGAGCGAAGCTTTCAAATCTAAAATTTCTGACTTATCTTGTCTGACTTCTTCTCTTAAACTAGCATTCTCTTTCCTAATTTTCTCAAGCGACGCCTCCAGAATCAAAATCTGAGACTTGTATTGAGCAATTTCATCCAGAGAACTGCGAGTTTCATGTTCTGTGTTCTCCAGGTGTGATTTCAGTTCCAAATTTTCAGTTTGGTACAGTTCTATTGCCCTTTTAGCAGTACTGAGTTCTTCATTAGCATTGTCCAGCAAGGCCGTTAACTCTGGAATTTTGGATATTGATCGCTCAATAATTTCATTCGCCTCATCTTTTTCTGCCTTTATTTCATCCAGAGAAATTTGTAGATCTATTATTTTAGATTTGAACCCTTGAATCTCCTTCTCCGCTCTGAGTAAATGTGTCTTTGAATCTTCAAGAGAAATTTGTAAGTCATTAATTTGAGATTTGTACTGTTCAATGTTTTTTACGAAATGAGCATTTTCTTCCCTTATTTGACCAAATGCTGCATTCAGTTCTGAAATTTGTGATGTGAACCTCTCGCATTTTTCTTCTGTTTTAAGTTTTTCCTTCTTTGTCTCTTCTAACAAAGCAGTCAGTTCCGCGACTTTAGTTTGTAACGTAATAACTTCTTTGGCAGCCCTATCTTCCCCATTGACTCTTTCATCTGAGCGAGCTGTCAGTTCAGGGGGTTTACCTTCATGCAGCGCTATCTCCTTTCTAGCTTTTCGTAAATCTTCTTCCTTTCTATAGAGCTCTGTTTCCAATTCTTTACTCTGTTGTAAAGAAGTCGCCAGATCTTTCTTCATAAGATTGATAAATGACTCCAAGGTCGAAATCGTGTCGCCTTCCCACGATGATACCTCTAACTGAAGCTCGTTAGGAATCCGTCGGCCGTCTTCGTTGTCGAAAACGAATTCATGTTTCATGTTTTTTGTTTCATTTTCACTCACAAACTCTTGTAAGCTACGACTTTGCTGAGAATCTGGGTTTCCCTTTTTAAAGTAATTTTTCCTCTCGGTTTGTAGGCTTGCTTTGAAACTGTCCCTAGCTTCAAACGGTAACTGGGGGTTCTCTCGTTTCAAATTCCTTATGATAGCTTGTATCTCTTGCTGTTGTCTTTCAAGCTCATCTTGCAGCTCTTTGTTCCTTTTTTCTCCTTCTTCTTTTTCCTTCCTAGTCCCTTCAAGGGACGTCCACAGTTCAGACACTCTCTTGGGATAGTTAAAAGGCATACTGTCTTCTCCACTCTCGGCAGAATCTTTCGTTCCTCCTCGTATTTTTCCGAGCTCATTTACGAGGCTTGCGATCTCTTCGTCTTGCTTTCCGAGAATCACTCTAAGTTCTTGGTTGTCTCTGTTCAAGGCTTCTCTTGTACGTTCAAAATCTGTGAAATTTTCTGGCGCCTTGGTAAGTTGTTCGCTACTTTCTACCTGAATCGCTTTATCTGCTCGCCGTACCAACTTCAGCTTTGTTGTGGTAACTTTGCGCTCCTGTTTAGTTCGAAAATCTGTTGGATCTAATGACCTTCTTCTTTCTAAACCTTGCAGAGAACTTTCCCATCCTTTAGGATCTAAGGATAACGTCCTTCTTAAAGTTCTTCTACGTAGATCCTCCTCAGATCGAATTCTCTGAAGTGGTCTGGGACTCGGTGGTTCGTTACCAACTTGTACTTCTTCGTCTTCTCGTTTGAGTGGAGAACTTTCCGTGCTTGGTTCTAGGGAGGGGCTGTTACTTCTCACTCTAGATGACTCCTTCTTTACGTTCCATGCCTTTTGTTCCAATGCAGGCTGGCTGGTAGGTGTAAAATTTAATTCAACCCTGTGAGGTCGATCTTTGGCTTTTAGTTCCGGTTGTGCTATTTCCTCTCTTCTTCTCGCCGAAAGCTCCTGTTTTGTGGCCTCTAGCTCTTCCTTAAGATTATAAGTTTCAATGCTTGCTTCCCTCAAATGTTCCTGTACCACTGAAATTCGCTGTTCTTTTTCCTCGAGTTCTTGCTCCATTTTCTTATTTTCCAGGCCCCTGCTTTCCAGTAGATTCTCCAAATTAGAGAGACTGGTACGAGACTCAATCAGCTCATCTGAAAGCATTAGCTTGTCCTCCAGCACTTCAGCCATTTTATGCTTCATTGACAACATTTCAGCCTCTCTCGGTGACATAGGAGTGCTAGTGTCTTCGCTCATTCTTCTCTCCATGTTGTTTATCACGCTTTCAAGCTCCAACTTTTCAATTTGGGATGTTCTTCGAGCTAGAATGATACTGTCAACTTTTTTATCTGCGACGGAGAATTTCCTGATAGATCTAAGTTTTTCCTCGTCTTCTCTCTTTGAGATCTGCGCCAATTTTAGCTCGTTGGACAAATCTTTGAGTTCGCCTTCCAGCACTTTTAATTGCGTTCCAACTTTGTCCTCTAACCTTTTGGAGGTCTCCACATGTGAAGATTCTATCCGGTCCAAACCTTTGATCTGGTACTTCGCCTCCTCGATCAACTTCGACATTTGCGAGGTTTCTTCGTTGTCTTTCCCCAGCCGAGATTTTAAGCCCTCAGTAACAATTCGTTCAGTAGCTGTCGTCAGCTTTTCAATGGGGATACTTTTGTCTGGTCTTTTGTTATTTTTGCTTCCCAAAGCAACCTCTAAGTCTTTGCGCAGGATTTGCTTTTCCTCCTCTGACAACAAATATGAGCCTCTTCTCATCTTTTGCGGTGATATTAACCCGTACTTCTTGAACCGTAGATCTTCTTCGCTGTCTTCTTTCATAAGATCTTCCAGCACTTGTTTTTGCACATGAAACTTCTTCGAGGTTACACTGTGAGCCAAAATCTCATTTTGCAATTGCTGCAGAAAATATCGTAGCCGTGTTCCTTTGTCAACGCTTGTTTGTAGAAGATGAGCGTACTTCCGAACGGCTTCCGACCTCTGCACCCGAAGCTCTCCGACTTTGGTTTCCTGAATCCGAAGCTTGTTTCGTAACTCGTGTAGCTCGTTATGAAGTCGTTTATTCGATTCATTCATCATCTTCACTTGCCTCTCCAGAATTTTATTCTCCGTCTCTAGCGCAGTTGTTTTCGATCGTAATTTCCGCATTTCTTCGTTGTGTTTGTCATTCTCTTTACGTTTATCAACAAGTTCTTGATCCAAGAGATTTATCTCATGTCGCAAATTTTCAATAGTCATGTCCTTCGTTTCTGATAGCCTCTTCTCCTTCAGAAGGCTATCGTTGAGCTTCTTGATGGTATCTCGAGCCTCTTCCAAACCATGGACAGTTGTAAGGGGGGATGCAGCCGGTACCAAGGACATTGTGATTTTTAACCAAGGCTGTGAACCAGCTGCGGTATCTAATGAATCCGTTTGCCCTTTCTCAGTTAGTTGCAAATCTCCTTCGCTTCTGTTCCTCCTTCTAATTTGTTTCTCTTGATTCCCAGAAAATTCTTCTATAATTTTTCTTGCTTCTTGCTGTTCTTTGCTTATAAACTGCACTGTCAGTTTCCCAACTGGACAAAAACTCGGGATTGTCCTGATTGTCACCAAATTCCTCCTTATATTAAGATCTTCTTCGGCTTTGTAGCTAGAAGGCAAATGCTCTTCAGATCGAGACCGTCGTATTGCCCGACCGTGTGATATGGATAATACATGCAGAGTACGATGGTTGCTCATATCTGTGAAAGATTAAGATAGAAAGGTGAACAATGAACTCTGGTTGTGCGGAAACCTTGTTAGATAAGCTCTATTTTCGCGATTACAGTCGACTACAGTTAATGGATCATTGTTTTGAAAGACACCTCCCCTAACCAAAAACAAAGTCATGGTCCCAGCCGTAAAAACCCTACATTTTTAACCTTCTATGATAAGAAAACTCCTTGGCTTAAGCCGATACCTTTATCCCGTTGTCCGGAGGTTCATAAAGGACTTATCAATTTTGAAAACCTAACTAAGGTAAACTGATACGCAACACTTTTCGTATATTGAGATACTTAATGACAGTGTTTAAGATCTTCCTCAAGTCCACCCGAATATTTTGATTCAAATCGGTATCAGAAGTATACATCATAACCTGAATCGAGTGCCAATTGTTTTTCCAGCTCTGACTGAATTTACAGATGTTAATTATCAAGCAGAGCGCCGATCTTCACGGGCGAGCTGCAATTTTAGCAATTACAGGAAACGAAGTCTTAAAAAAAGTAAGGCTTCGACGGGATTCGAACCCCGCGTGTCTCCCAAATATAGAGGAGGAACAGTGCTTAGTCAATAACTGGTTTATTGTAAATCAGCCATTGTCGAGTGACAATTCAATCAATTAAAAACAAACGATCGGTTTTCGTACCATTCTAGCTGACCTCATATCATTTGAAAGTTCAGGTTGACCATCTTCTAGGTAAATAGGAATATGATGAAAACTAACAACTTACTTTTCATTTAGTTTTGATTTTACAGAGAATGGACCAAATAATTTAAAGTCGTTTGATATAGTAGATGAGAGTATCGCCGGACCTAACTGGAGTTTTAGAAAGGAACAATACTCCTGCCTTTTCAACGCAGCATTTTCTCTTTAAACTTTATTCCCATGGAAGTGTTCATTGTTTTATTTTCTCAGACTTGTTGTGCGGTCAACCATTGCAAACGAAAAGGTTGACCGCCGTCTACGCAGTTGTCCGCCAATCTTAAATTAACAACGACGAGATAAAAAAAAGGAGTTTATGATTTCAATAACATAGCGGAGACGTAAACAAAGCCCAGCATTGTTCCATAGATAATCACTTCAACCTTACTATTCTTGTGAATTAACCCGTAGACGTAAAAATTGTCAGTATTTTGTTGGTGTGTCGCCTGCAGTCGACAGCTCTTTACCCCTAAAAGAACAGTGTGTTCAAGGTTTCTCCACTTTACCGAACTTGTTTATGATCTTTTATCGTTGTCGTTTACACCTTGTTTGATATCTTCGTTACAATCTAATATTTCACAATGTATTTTTGTTAATGGGATTACTTTTCAAGAAGATCGTAAAAAGAGGACGAGAAATGTTATGAAGTAATTCAGCTTTCTTCTTCTAGCCAAACGAAGCCTCCTCGTTTCGAAGTTGCCGTGCCATACGCCTACAATAAATAGCACCTGTTATGGATCATGAGTTTTATGACCTGTTCGACAACTTTTCTATCACAAAACATCAGATTACTGAAGCGACAAATCATCTACTTTCAGAAAAGGTGCAAAAGAGAAAAAGAAGTTTGGTTTTCAAAAACAACGCTTATGCCAACATCGAAAGAATAAAAAAGTACGATGTGTATTTGTGGAGTAAGAATAAGTCGATTGTCTACATGTTTTGATAAGATTTCTTCCTAGGGAAGATTGTTCATAAGATACACCGCCTCGAACCTGCTGTGTCTTCTGCAATTAAGCCCCCACTTAGAAGTTTTTCTAGAGATTTAATTTTTTCCTTCATGACTGCGCAGCTTGACATTATCTTAAAAGTAGCTCACAGTCTTCTGTAACCTACTGAGCCAGACAATGAAACAGTCGATTTTTTTGTAACCTATGTGAAGGCGTCTTTTGCATTTTAGGTAGACTTTGTCATATGTCAACAGCCCTCGTCGCACAGTGTAAACTTTTCAGCGAGCCGTTCTCTCATAAAAATCTTAATGCCTGAGTAACTAGCATTTTGTGGCCACTTGAAAATAAATAGGTTTCTTAAAAACTACGAAAATTTTACGCGCCGTTTACAAGTGCGATGCAATCAACGCTAAAAACATTGCGGATGTGTTTTGAATTTGCAATTCAGCCTTTCTACAGTGTTGACCCTAGATTGATATTTTTCCTCATTTTTTCGCTAAAACCGCCTTCTTGACACGTCAAACGAAATTATTCTAGTGGTTCAGCTTTCTCTTGTTCATCATTACAGTGAAGAGCTGATCAAACTCCTCTTGACAACACAGCGTAGCGTTCGATTAAATGTCACGTGTCGAATCGAATATTGCTTGCATATCATAAAGTCAAGTACTCGAGAAGGAGAGAAATTTTCGTCAGCCGCGTCCGGTTTTGCGAGAATTTTGCTTTCTATGCAATTTTTAGTGAAGTTCGAAAATGACCAAGTGCTTTTCAGATTCCGTGAACCGGCGAATTTCATGATAAGCCAAGAGCAAACGATATTTGTTAAACTGTGCCCATGATCGGCAGACGAGTCATACATGTACCGAATTATTACCCCAAAACAACTGCTCTCATTGATTATGTTACCAGTGAAGTATTTTTTAGATAATTTAGGCAATATTCTCATGTCGTGCTAGTTACGTCTCTCTAACGTCCACGAACAAACCTCGCATCGTTAACTTGACATCAAAGAATCATGAAACGTTTTGTTTACCTAATTTCCATTCAGTAAGTAGATGTTGTAGCGTTAAGTACTTATCGTCCAGAATCTTCTAACAACACTGTCAGCCGCTTAGTAAATTCGCCCGTACGTATACGATTCAAAATACCTTTTCATCAGCCACTCTAATTTAAACAAAACTTAGATATACAAAGTCAAGTTTGTCTTATTTTAAAAGCGTGCTGCGAACCACGCTGAGAGATTTGTTTAAAATCTACACAAGGAAACAAATACAGCACCTTGCTATTTAAAACAGGGCACTTTTTATGATTTATTTACACCAAATTTTTACTCACATTAGATCCTCAAGCGCCTCCATAGTAGCTTGAATACAGCAGTACCAACGTGATGGGGTATTTTTCTTGGCCTAAGTCAACCTCTACATCAGACGACGCCGATCAAATCGGTAATGAGTGTGTAACGTGTATTTGAAAGAATCAGCTGAATGCCATAAAACCATTGTGCATAAAATATGAAGGCATAATTAATGATCTCGATATTAACTACGTGATAACTTGGCCTGATGAACAGGAAAATTACAGACCAGATTGTTATAATTTCATTTTTGACTCTACAACTTTCTCAGGCTTAATTTGTTTTATTTTCCAAGTCCTAAAGGTTACAAGTTGTAAGATTGTTCACGCTCGAACGTGTTGATACCAATGTTTTGAAGGAAAAAGCGGTTATGATCATTTTGAACACATGGCTGATAAATTGCGCGCGTTTTCTTCGCGGGAAATAGTTTGATCACATGAACAAAGCCAATGAACTCCTCACATTCAATCTCCAGTGAAATCTTACAACCTATTTGCAAAATACATGAAATACTCTAAAGAACTGTGCTCTATTTTTAAAAAGGTCAAAACGGCCTGTCAGGACGCGACCGAAATTTTAATATTTTGAACGCTTCAAAGACTCAGTTTTCGTCATATCCTGCTACAATACTAGCGCTATGTTCCCAAAGTTTACATTTCCGCGTACGCTTTCAAAATTGCTTTAAAACAAACACATTTTTCACACCAACACTTTATCACACGGCAAACTTAACAAGCTTTTATTGGTGAAAAGTGAATAACATTCAAACCAATAAACAATAAGAAGGCAGACAAAACAGCTCTGCTAATTATACGACTTCGTTCTGCACTGGAAGCTAAGCGTCTTGTGAAACAAAGACAGCCAATCATTACAAGTACAGGAAAATTTTATTGTACTGAAACAATTACTCTGACGGATGGTAAAAAGGCTCTCGACAAAAAAAGAATTATCAGAATGCGGCGTTCATGAATCTTTGCAAATTTATTTTCAGGATTTTGAAAGCGAAATGTGGAAACGAATTAGGATCACACATAGAAATTTGGACCACACGATTACTGAACGTTTAAAGAGGGGTTAACTTCTGTTGTCATGACAATTTGAATCTACGCCACATCAACAATTGCGCGCTTCATTTCCGACAAATATTTAACACAAATTGCATGCTTCCACTATAAAGGAACGTGTTTTGTTAGTTTGACTTTTGAAATTTCTTTTCTGAGATTGCACAGATCGAATCCTCGCCTCAATTCTAGGCCAAAAACGGGACGTATCCCAAGGAAGATTTCAAGGAAATGAAAAAGGTGTTTTCACGGTAATTAAGTTTGCTTGTTACTTCCCTAAGTGAAGCGGTTCCTATTTATGGCTGTCATTGATAACAATCATGGTCAGGGGAAACTTTAAAAGCACCTGAAAACTTCTGGGACATATTTCGAATTCTCACGTATACTTGTTTGTCTGGTTCCTCGTATTTTTAATTACTCCTTCAAGTGCTAGGAATTGTTAACAGATAAAAGGTTACTTTCCTAACAAATTTACTGCAGATATTTTTAGTAATTCTCGGCTCGTGGCTTTAAACCACTATCTCGGCGTGAAAAGTAGCAACCAATGAAAAATTTATACAATTTTCACACAAAGCCGACGCTTCAAGCGTTCTCACAAAGGATTTGCAACGCAAAAAAAAGAAAAAATTGCAAAAGTTTGTAGGCAAAGCCAAACAGTAATTCTATAGACAAACAATCAAACGAACAAAGTCTATAGATTAAAAAACAAGATGAAAGAAACCTTCGGCAAAAAGAAGAAGTTTTCTGAAACCTCCCTTTTCATCATCTTAATTGTCAACTTAGTTTTATGTCTGCCGCCGTGTATTGTAGGCTTCTTTCCTGCAAGGAACCTACCTTGTAACATTGTTTAACAGATAGTGCTTTTAGAACTGACGTGTTCTAAGTTGTGGTGTGGATACTCAAGAATCAATCCGTGGATTGATCTGCTGCAAAAACGAAATGACTTTAAAGGAAATTAGCCAGCCGCTTTAATTAAGCATTAATATTACTCCTTGTGTACCTATTCCATCGCTCGGATACGGAAAAGATGGTATTGAAGGAAGACAAAACAAATGCTAAAAGAGCCCGTAATTTCACCATGAAAATTAGATTAGGTGACTCCCTAAAGACATTGAAATTCTTCAGAGATCTAGTCGCATCCCTGGACATCGTTAGACACAAAATCTATTTCACTATGGTTACAAACGGACAACAAACCTGAAGCTTGCTCGTTTTCCCATGTTAACGTTTCCATCAGTAATGAAATTCAATATGCTAAACAAGGCCTTTATGCGATTTGAACTGAATCTTCTTGGTCGAATTTCATGAAATTTAGCCCACGTAAAATGCTTAGCCAAATTTCACTGACGTCAAACAAACCGCTACTTTAACTAAAAATTAACATTCAAGTTACAAACATCCGATAACTGAGAACACCTGACAATCATTCCCAATAACATTTCTCACTTTCAAAAATTCCGTGGACAGCTCACGGAATTTTTGGTATGGTAGAATATAATTTAAGTAGAGATTATAAGTTTAGAAGGGTAAGTATCACGCTAAGAATGCGACTGAGCAAGCTTTTCTAGAATAAAAGGCTTATTACTGGTCACGCAAGGTGTAGTTATCAAACAGATGGAAACACCTTTACGTTGGCAAACTCAAGGCCTAACTTTGCCTTCCGAACAAATCGATTTCATACGAAAGCTGCAGAGTAATGGTTGAGACAAATGTATTTAAAATCCCTCAAAGACAAAAAAAAAAAAAAAAAGGGACAGTTGTTCATTTAATAAAAGATTTATCACTCAGACTTCTTCTATGACCCTTAGGTGCTCAAAAGTGAAACTATTTCTCATGTTAAAACAAAGAAGGAGGAACATTGTGGTGATAATTGAACGAACTGCTGCAGAAAGGTGTCAATATGGCGGCGTCGACTCGTCTGCTCCTTTATTTCAAAAGATGTATTTATATTTCTCGACTCTTGTTTCCATTAAAAGGCTAATGGCATCGACTTGAATTTCACTTCAATCTGGTGCAAGTGTAAAAGGAAGGAAAAAGAAAAGCGCAGCTTTCTTTGACAAAGACACGAGAGAGATCTTTGTCTTTGACTCAATTTTTTTTACAATATGGATAAAACATTTCAAATCACTTTCCCTGCCTTGCGGATTTTGGTCGGATTTGTATGGTAGATATTATCATGCCATGCCAAATAAGAGCAATTATCTTCAAGTGTTTGCACTCTATTCGTTGGTTTTATGCCAAATATAGACTAAATCACATCTCATTTAACACCTACGATATTTAAATTTTACAAGGCAACTCGGAGAACTATAGGTCACACCAGTTAGGCTCAAAAAGGGTTATTTTTATTCTGTTTTAAAAATGCTCTTCTATTAAATTCCGTTTCCTTTTGAGTCTAGTTAAAACCATGTCAGGAACATCTCTGTCTAGTTAAACACATATTTTTCCGTAGTACTCAGTTTATTTATACGAATTTACTTCCTTGTTTTCTTGAAATAATTTTCGAAGGATCTAATGCGATTTCTCGTGCTTCGGTTGCTTACAGTTATAGCGTAGCTCGAGCCATGAGACTGATTCTAGAACCAAACCATGAGTTGATTTAGTAAAGATGGTAGAGCTGTAATATACGAAAACGTTCAGTGAGCAAAGGTCTGCCGTACGATTCACGTTTTCGATAATTTCGTTCATTGCAACCTAAATAATCTCGAAGAGACGACAACATTGACTTATATTCGCGAAATATGTTCATAGATTGAACATAGCAGATATAATTTGCGATGGCAACGAAATTATACTTAAATTGCTTGCAAGGAAGGATCGATGCAAAAAACCGCAAACAAACGTGTCAAGAAGATTCGCAGGAAGTTGATATTGGGTAGAGTTTACTGATGGTGTTTCTCAAGTTTGCTTACACATTTATCGAGAAACTGAAAGTATATTTTTACTGGCTACTTACCAAAAAGTGCTTGTCAGACGTCGTTTGGAAAAGATGATCATCGACTCTTCGAAAGCGTTGCGAAAAATTGTAGAAGTCTCGTGCCAAACCTCGGAAAAAAAGCCGTCACTCAATATTTAGTAATTCGCTTGAGAGTACGATTGTATTGCAACTCTTAAAAGCCCTGATTAGCATATTTATTGTGACTATAAGTTTATATTTTTTTTCTTGCATAAAGCGCTGCGTGGTTTCCTCCGTCGCGAATATCATCTGTGACTCTCTGCTTTTGAACATCACAAATGAAAATTATGATAATCACTGAAAACAAAGAAGAATGAAATGAAGGCGTGAGAAATTGAAAACCAAAAGAATACGTATTTTATTTTAACACCAACCAGCTATCTTCGTTTCAAATTTGGACTCCAGATCGTACATACTAATTGATTTGACCGGCAGGGGGCAAAAGACCTAAGATTCACCGTGGAGTAGACAGTTTGTGCAACGAATTATTTCTTAAGCTGTATGCATTATATCTTAACTAATTAATCGAAGATTCGTCAGAGATCATTGTGACTTTCATGAAATAGCAGACGGAAGAGTCATATTTTTCAGAAGTATTGCTTCTTAATTATCACAGTAAATTAATTGGATGTCGGAAACTTTAAATTTGCTTATTTCAAACTGTAAATTCGAGGGATCTCTCATAACTTTATGATCGGCTCAAACGATTCCTCTTTGGAGAAATGTGAAATTCGTACGTATTCGTCTGAAATAAGAGATATTTTTTTTAGAAACTTTTAAACCCCAAGGTCATTAAAAGTTCATATCTGAGATTTTTTCCCATGAACAGCTATCTCTTGCTGTCAGTTTGTTGTCATAGCTCTTTCCAGCCAAAACAACTGACGTATCACTCCTGTAGCCACAAACTTCCCGGCACAATATCTTGTTCGCCTGCAGTTCAACCCAATTGATGTTATCGAGAACGATCCAATGGGCAGACGACAGTAGAAGAATACGGTAGCACAGCGATAAAAAGATTATTTCCAATACCTCGGTGAGGTTGTTTCTATTGAAGCCGTGCTTTGATAAAATATATTGCCATCGAATTACCTTTTAAATAAGTATTGAGCATTTTTTCATGAATAGCACTAAAACTCGTTCGCTTAACTCGTGAAATATTTTTCAACACGACTTGAGAGAAAGTTTGCTTCTCCAAACGGGCATGTAATATTCTATTTATTGAATAAACATCAATGAAATAATTAATCATTTCGAAAGGTGAGATTTTCACATGAAACCATAGCAACGGTGATCTTTTTACGTGTGAATGTAACATGTTATTTAGTGTAAACATAACATGTTACCTTCACATATGAAGTTGTCGTGTTTTCGCGCAAAAGCTTACTTGGTATTTCATAGGTGTTTATATAATAATTCATTTAAATTACGAGCTTTTGTCCCACATTCCATCTTTCGAGTGATAAAAGTGATAGAACCCGGGCAAGCGCAATCGCTCGACTTCTAGCCCCACAGCCAGTACTCTATCAATCATTTCCCAATCTTCCCCGCCCCATTTGTCTCGGAAGTCCTGGACGTTCATCCCTCCAAACCTGTCCCAGTCCGACTTGAAGATACCTGCGATTGAGCAAATAATTTTTTTTTTTAGCACAGCGAGGAGAAGCGAATACTTGTCTTCGTAACTGTTCTTATTATGATGCAGTTATTATTTCATAACCCCATGGGTGACCTTTTTTTTTTATTTTGTAAGGAAAAGTTTAATCGAAATCGGTTATGGCAAGGACAGAAACAACCGCCTGAATTTTTCACGGATACATTTACCTCGATTTAAATTTGTTTAAAGTGAAATTTTTGGCGGATTTTGTAGATTTTTCAAAACACCCATTGTTAGATATAATATCGAATTACGTTGAAAAGTGTCTCTTACTGAATATTCCAAATCCAAATGTTTCCCAGTAGCCTTTGGATTGTGTTGTCGTCGTCAGCGGTCTTCCACAGAAGGTTAACCTGAAGAGGACTGGGGTGAACGCCATCCTTCCCTCTACTGTGTGCTTCGCATGTGATAAAAGAGCGCTTTTATTAAATTTCTTTTAATTCGTATCGTTATATATATATATATATATATATATATATTGGGTCTTTAATAAAGCGTTGAAAACGGAAGCACATTCTCCATTGTGCAAATTATATATATATATATATATATATATATTTGACTACCGTTCACTTTGCACATGCTCGACTGCGAATTCAAGAGCTTTCTTACCATTAGAGAATGTTGTAGTCAAGATTGACACAGTGCATGATGCAATATGTTTTGTGTTAGTTCCAAATGGACATGAGAGTAAATCTGACACCTTCCCAAAGGCCAATGGGACACGAGCATAGGACATCCAAAGCCCACACCCCTACGACGCCTTACTGGAAAATGCTGCCCAACCCTCCTGAATGCCAGTAATCCAATCCTTAAAAGATACTCAAATCTAAAGGCAAAAAAGGGTTAATTGCACTTTGGGAACCCTTACCCTTAGTTGCACCATTGGCAATCTCTTAAGCAGGGTGCGATTTAAGCTATAATATTTGTATAATTTATAATTTCATCATAATGACGTTTTCGTTGTAGCCTTAACTAAAGCTTCACTTCCAGTAAAAATGACGTAACTGAAGCGGAATTTTTTGTAGAAGAGCAATAAATGGGATCAAATATTCAGTGAAATCCAAATCAAATTTTATCAGTCACCGTGATAGTAGATGTATGACAGTTTCCCTAGCATCTCTGTTTAAACAGGACTGTAGCAGTTTGTTCACGTTTAAAAAAGATATCTACGATTCTTGTCTTGTTTTTAACCTTTTAAAATCTTCCCTGCGTGTCGGCCATTGAGCCATTTTCTCACCTTTCTGACAACGCTAAAGAATGTGCTCGGTGTGAGAAGATGAAGATCAAACAACAGCACAATGCTGTGTGGATCTGTAATGGTACTGACCGCTGACTGAATGGCTTCTGTTTTGTGGAACGCGCCAGTGCGCTTCAGGACTTTGTAGTTTGTCAACGAACTTCTGTTTGAAAAACCATAAACAATTTTAAAAACACATACACATTCATGATTCAACAACAAGGAAAAGTGGATTGTACAACAAAATTGAGGTTTGTATGGCGATCAAATGACGAGTTCTTAAACGAAACCAGTTTTTTAAATCGCAAACGTAATACTAATGTGTCGAAAGAAAAAGCAAATCAGGATTTTCCTGAATAAGGTAATGCAAATAGTGATAGCAATGTTAAATAAGAGCAGTGAGATTCACCTAAATGCAATAGGCGAGAGGACACTTTGTACTGATTTATCTGTGAATTTCAAAGCAGCTTGATTATGATCGGAAGGGGAAAGCCGCACTCTCACATTAGGCTGGACTTGTACGAGCGTATCTGGGGACTTGCAAATACAAGAATGGTTTTCAAGGGCAACAACCAGGCCAGATGCGAATAGCGGCTGAAACAGATTCCTTAAACTTGACAAAAAAGTTTGATAAAACCCTAGGAATATAAAGCATTCTTAATTCGTAGATTGACTAATCCAGAATTTAAAAAAAAAAAATGGCCTGCTTACCTCATAAATAGCTCCTCAACACGTGGCAACCTTTAAGGCTTTTTACTTGTCAAAATAGTTCTAAACAACGGCGTAGTCTAATTAAACTGATTCCTAATAGTTTTTCTAAACACTAATTTTGCCATTGTAATTCGTTTCTATTAAGATCACGTACAACTACTCACTGCCTCAAAGACTCCTCTATATTGATGTCCTTACTCTCATAATCCACCACTATTATGTTCACGTGATCTTCACGCGTCTCTTCTGAAATCCGGGACATCTCGTTAATGAAGTGTTGGGCCCAGTTTCCTTGGTTCTTTACGGTCAGAATTACATTTACTGTCACGTTCCTATTCCAAGAAATTCCCGCTGGCGTACAAAGTCTGGAACTGTTGTTGAATTTGTACACATATTCAGATAGTTTTACGATCTTGTTCCGAGCCCTTTCTCGGAAAATGAGCTCGAGCAAATATCGACTTCCACGCGAGATATCTTGGGTCTTTTCGACGTTAACGATAGCCTTCAAATCATATTTCCTGGCATAAAGAAAAAGACAGTCATTTTTAATTTCATATAGTGCACACTAACTAAACTAGGCAAAAATTTAAAATATATGTTTTATGCTAAATAATTTTTACGGGTTAGTTCACCGAGTCAGGAGGTAACAGTTGAATCTAGGAAATGCCATGAACAGACCTGCTTTATGAAATTTAGTTCAAGTAAGTTGTTGGGTTAGGTAAGCTTAATTTTCAAGCCCCGGTTGTTCGAAGGTCGGATAACACTGTCCACTAGAAAAATCTCTATCCGTTGGATAACCCCATACGTTTTGCTATCACTTATCCGCTTAATGGCGTTATCCGCCCTTTATACAACTGGGCCCCAATGTTTTGCTCTTTAAAAGTCTCAAAATATTTGCAGGTACAATATTTGCTGCAAATTTGCAATATTTGCAAAATTTTGGTGACAAGATTCCGCAAATTCTTGCATGTTTACAGCGTAAACAATTGCGCGCTCTTAAACTGCGCCAAGATATCTTTGAGTTAAGAAAAAAGTGAAATAACTAAACATTCTGACCCTACTTGGGATATTTTTCTTGAATAGTCTTTGTAAAAGTCCGAACAATTTCTAGTACTTCATCCGCAGTAATTAAACTGTTTCCATGACAGTCTCTTTTCAGTCTGTTTCCAATGCATATGAACTCTTTCGTGCCGTCATCTGGGAATACGGAGCTGAAATGTGTTTTCCAAATTCCTTCAAAACGTTTGAAAGTCCTTTTTTGGACATATTTTGGTTCGTAAGGGCAACTCGGAAAAATGGATAGTATTTCCTGAGATACCTCCGGAAGTTGATCAAAAGTCATCAAGTCGTAATGATTTTCGATGTTAAAATCCTCTCCAAAATACGATGTAAATTTTTTTGACAGTTTTTGTTTTCTAGGTATCTCTATTCCTTCGTAATCCTCATCGCCTTCCCCAGCGTCAGCATCATTGATTTCCGAGTCAATAACGCTGGGAGATGCTCGTAGCATATCACTACGTTCTGACAACTCTCTGTGATTAAAAAAAGAAGGATCATCCTGCAATAGGGGTGAGAGAAACTTAGCAGAAATTTCGGTAAACGCATGACCGCTGGGAACCAGCCAAGTGACATTCACGTGATCACGACTCATCATTCCTCCATTCATCACGTGAAGCAAATCAAAGAAATACTTCCCTTCTCTCTCGAGATATATTTTCCGGGACGTGTGGCTCACAGACTTGGCTGAAGAATGTTTGTTGTTTTCTATTGCAACTTTTGCGATCAATTCAACATCCGTCGCGTTCTGTTCCTTGCCAAGCCATAGTTCAGCGAAGACATGTGCAATTAAGTGAAAAGTGTAATTACCAGTGATAGGAGGATACACGAATCCCATTATTCTTTGCCCGTACCAGGTCCCCGACGGACCAGAGTTGATAGTGTGACGAAACAAACGTTCTTTAGGTAGAGTTGGAAATAAGGGGTACTGTCTTAAACTATTTATTTTGGGACAGCACAGTCCCCTCCAGAGATGAACATTAACATTTCCTCTGTTGATTCTTGAATTGGCGTCAATGTTAGCAATTTCGCCTTCTATTACGTTGATATCTGACTGTGCATCTTCCATTTTCTCAATGATGTGGTATCTGACATCATTTTCTCCAGGGGTCCGTTTAACTCTCTCCCAGTCCTTTACTCGCCCATCATTGTCTGTGCGCTCACTGGGGGCTTTGCTTGCCGTCGCTCGCCAGTCTTTCGAAATTAAAATCTTTGAAAACTGCACCGACTGCTGCCTGTTGTGTCGAACGACCAGGGCTATCACGAGAACGTATATCATTCCAAATAGCCATTGACATGCATAGAGCCGACAAAATCTACGGCGAATCCTTCTAAACATTTACCTATAATAATCTCGTTTGACTAAATGAAATCCTTTGTTTCGTTCTAGAATGAAGCATCTGACGACGAAAATTTTCCTTCCTGTGAATAACTCAATTTTGACTTGGGCGAGTCATAATTGATTTCAAAGCGTGGTTCGATTTGGACTATCGGAAGACATTTTGAAAACAACTGCAATGGCTGATTTCTAGTTCTGAAATAAGAAAAAAAACTTGCGTCACTGGTACCAGTTGAGAACAAAACATTGATTTGTTCTGTTATCTCGCTACCTGCTGGTGTCAAGTACATGGAAAATCTGCAAGCTAGTTTTGAATCAGAGATCATCGTTTGTTTAGCTCACGGCTAATTATTAAGCCGTTTTCCATTTCATTACCCCAATCTTCGATCTACTCTAATGACAACCGAATATATATCTAGCTTAAATATAAACAAAACGTTAATAAGCACGAATGAATAAGTAAACTATACATAATTATTTCGTTGCAGAGTAAAACTATTAGATAGCACAAATTTTCTGGCATATTTGCGACCATTCCAATTTTGACTGCCAATTCAACACAAACTTCCTATTTATTTTTAAGGAAAAACACCACCGAAATCCAAAAGAGTAAACAAAAGTTCCCATGGTTCTCTACACTACCCAGCGGATGTTTCAATTGTTAAAAAGGAAAAAAAATGAGAAAAAAACGGGAAAAGAATTGTGGAAATAAATACAAATTAAGGAGAACATATCTATTCTGACAGTAAAAAGGAGAAGGCAGTTGACAAAAGTTAGATTTCCAGTGAGATAAAGACACAATAACAACAAAAACTATTTGCATGACAACAACATGATATTCCAGTTTTGCAAAAAGTGCTATTACTATTAATGAAAGCTTTCAAGGAAAAACGGAAATTAACAAAGACTACAATTATTATATATTTTTTGTTAAGCTGGTTTCGTTTTTCAAATGTATGGTAATTCATAAGATTTTATATATTGGACTGTGTAGCTGGGCTCAATAAATCTAAGTAGTCGTTAAGGTGAAATTTTATTTTAGAAGAACTTCTTAGTCGAAGAATATTTCTTAGAATCTAGCTGGAAGCTGCAGAGAGTGCAAATCCTGTCAGAGTCGTATTTGCCGGTCTCAATACGGAACTTGTGGCTGCTTGTTTTTTTAAGTTTTAATTAATGCTATTATAGAAGGGATTTTCTACATATTACTCAACAGGCTGAGGCTGGAGGTTTTTTTTTTGAGATTTAAAAAAGAATTTTGTTCATGTAGAGGTAGTATCAGCCAAAACGGAGTCTTAGGAACTTGTTCCAGGTTGAAAAACAATGTGCAGAGAACAATGAAATACTTAAATTCTGCTAAGATTGTTTTTCCATGGTGTGAAAGCAAACATAGATCATCGATATTGTCTATATACTGAAAATTTTGCAAATAAACGATTTACTAAAATTATGAAGTCGCTTTGATGTTATGACTATTTCGTTAAAGGTTGAAGTATATCATTGAAAAAAAAAGGAGAGCAATAAATTCGTGATTTTCGTTTTTCTAGAGACAACATTTTGACAGATCTCAGAAATTTTAATTTACGGTCTTTTCATCGGATTTAACACCTTTTATGTACTAATGATGTGAGATAAAGATCCGTGTGGTATCTTAGAAACGTTTTATGCTTTAAAACATATGATGAATTTGGTTAATCCCCTAAATTTTTTTCCGGTTTGTTTAAAAATTGTTGAAAACTGAAGCAGTTTATTTCGGGGCGTTGAGTCAAAATTGTTCTCAAATTCCATGTCTCGGCGTTTAGTTTCTTGAGTGAAATTGATAAATGACAATTGTTACAGTCGTTATCGTTTTTTCAAAGGGTAAACTGAACACCTGCTCTTTGCCTATAAAAAGCGGTTGATGCCAACGAGTTGTTGGTCTTCTTGGCCTTTGTTAAAGTGAAGCAAAATAATATATTTTTGCTCTGAAAAATTGTCATGTTTTTGTGGAAAGAAATCTTGTTGTTATCAACGGCACTTCAGTTCTTTAGTGCTTTTCCAGTTGATGACCTGATGATGCTTGGTAAGAGGACAATTTTATTGTTTATTTATCGTTGCAGGCAGAATGCATTCAGTTGTTGAAAAAAGTTCAAGAACATACCGTGAGCTCAGAACAGGGATTAGTTCAAGACGTCACGAATGTATTTGGCAGCTTACGAAAGATATCTTTTAAAATTGTTATCGAGTAATTTAATTTCATTGCGGCTTATCCAGGAGATGTCTCGAAGTAGGTTGGCAGGAAGTCAGGTTTTGTTTATTTACCATTGCGTGCACAATTTGTTTGGTTGGAGTGCAAAGTCAAAATTCGTTATTGTAAAACAGGATTACCTTTTCTGTTGTTTAGAAACTTAATTTGTCAGCATACTTGAAATCGCTGATTTCGAATCGGTATGAATGAGGTTTACTTGAATTTAAAAAATTTTTCTGCACAAAACTTGAGGCTCTAACAGGTTCTAACTAACAGAGCTTCCGTCCAGAAGTATGATTGCCCCCCTCCTACCCCCTACCCCTCCCCCCTCCGTATAGAATGTTGTTCTTTGTTAAGTTATGGTTGTTTTCGTGACAATCCTCCAGACTCGTGTTGGAGACGCAGTCGCCCGATGGCTATTGCGTTGGACTCTAGGTCGAGAAGTTCAGGGTCGAGACCTTGTCAGGTCAATGAGTTGTGTCCTTTATGGACACGTTAATTGCGACGAGATGTTTGACATACTTGAGTCTAACATCTACCACCTCCACCCAGGAGTTTTGATGGATACCAGCAAACTGTTTCTGGGAGTTCTGACAAAGTGTAGGAGGTTGGCCTTGGGATAGACCAGACTTCTACCCAAGGGAAGTAGCACCAATCATAGTCACTTCATGCTACAGAAATCGGCTTGATGGGCCTTTTTGCTCGAGTACAGAGTTTACCATTTACTCTCTAAAGTCAAGCGGGTCAATGTGGGGCGAGAGTGAAGCAAACAAAACTAACAGAAAATGATTGATTTTGTCAATGCTTGATCATTGAACACTATCGGGCGCCCGCACAAAAAGCACGACTCCTCTTTCGTTGGATATAATGACTGAACGCAAAACAGAAAAAACGTTGCTTTTTGTGATCGTGGAATTATGGCAGAAATAATTTTAAAGAAGTTTAAGGTTGGCGTCGTTCACCGCGATCTCAAAAAAACAAAGGATTTACAAAGATAGTTGTTGCTGTAAATGTTATTTGCTTATTTTCAGAGATCACGTTTTTCTTTTGTCGTACAATTCCAACACCTGGTACATCGAGATCTCAAAAAGAGACAAAAAGATGTGAGATTTTGTATAGAGGCTGATTTTATTTGTACAATATAGACGGGTTAAAGATAATTTTGTAAAGAATTAAAGAGTTTGACAGAAGAAGTTTAAATTGTGATTCAAATGTATTTCTTAATCAGCCAATCGCTACCAAGGAAGAACAACAAATAAACGGCCTGAGTTTTAGTATTTCATGCTAAATCATAAGGATTTTCGTGCTGAATACATGTTTGAGAATTTTGCACAGAACACTTTGGCGCAAAACACTCGAGTCTAGACACCGACGTATAGGACTCCGCTTGATTGTTTTGCGCGCTCGAGCTCCGCTCCGCCTCAATGGTTTACATCCATTTTTTTTTCTTATTTCTTTTTCATAGATGCGAAAGAGTCGCTGCTTGAAGACAACAGAGCACTTTCAAAGAGGGGAGCTGTACGTTCCTCCCTATATAAATGGCCCACCTCTGATGAAGATGGCAAAACAGTCGTCAAGATTCCCTATGTGGTTCAAGATGGTGTGTGACTAGCTTTTTTCATTGATACAGTAGTTGATTGAGTAATCATCCCTTTCTTATTTCAAGGTGTTTGTCTGCCTTAAAGAAAACACTCAAAGGCGCACGAAAAGACCTTAGTTGAGAAATAATACATCGGAATAGTTGGAAAACCTTTTATATTTTAAAGACGTGTTTTTCGAGGTAACTTCCCAGTCATTACATTTAGTTTATCCCTTCATCTTTTTATTCCACAATAAATTACATGGTTTTACCCATATGATCTGTTTGTACAGATCTTCACTCCAAAGCTAAAACTGAGTTGCAGCGTGCTATTCAAGATGTACACGAAGCTACTTGTGTGAAGTTTCAGGCTCGAAAGAGAGAGACCGACTATGTTAGTTTTCAGCCTGCAGTTGACTACCAAATGTAAGTACTAACCGGAAACGGCGGGAAGGGGAGAGAGAGTCCGGGTGGGAAGGAAGGGGGGAGGGTGAAGTTTAGTCTCGAAACGAGAGGTCGTTCCCTTTTTCCTTGAGAATGCAGCTATGGGGAAACTAACAGACTGGTGAAACCTTCTGTGATCGACCAAATGTAAAAGCAGCATCACTCAGAGTCTATGGGAACGCCCAAGAAGTATGCACATGTGTAGACGACCCGCAGGGCTAACAAGCTCGAGGCTGTAGTCTACAGTTTGGTCCTAATTTAAATTTTATTCTTTCATAGGGTTCTTAGTAACTTTATTGATAATTTTTAGATGCTTTGCCAAAATTGGGAAACGCTCAGGAAAGCAAGATGTTATTCTTGGAACAGGCTGCGAATACAAAGGAACAATTTTACACGAGATCGTTCATCTGCTGGGGTTTTATCACGAACACAACCGAAAGGATCGAGATTCATACTTGAAAATTTATGAAGACAATCTTGATCCAGGTAGGCCTTGTTCAATTATGCTTTACTTTTTTTCTTACTGTAATCTACAGTTGGCGAAAAAATTGTTGACTCAGTGACCTTTTCAACCCCCTCTTATTTTTATCTCTTTTACCCTTGTCAAGTCAAGGCAGAAATATCACAAATAAAGTACTCATGTCCCTGTAAACTCTGATCTACTATTTCAAAACTCGTGCATCGTGTTTCATCAGGGTTTCTAAACAAGAGAAATTAGATGAAAGGTACAAGCTTAGCCCTTTACACCCTAACATCAGTATGCATATTCTCCATACTGTTCTCTGTTCATTTCGAACGTTACTGACAAGGAGAATTTGTTTAACAATCAAGAGCTTCCTCAGTTGATGAACATTTCCTTTATTCTCGTGACCTTAATGT